TTATTAGATTATTGTATTATATATGATTCTATAACTAAATTTTGTTTATGTTTTCAGTTTATTCAGACGATATATTCGATTTTAGCCCCGGAAACAATTTAGAAATAGCCATGCCACTATAATCACAGAATTAGTTTGAATATCATTTTTATTTATAGAAAAAAAGATAATCCAATGATCAAATCAGAAAAGAATTCTACCGTAATCAGTACATATATTATTACAGTAAGGCTCGACATCGGTTTTGTACCAAATATAAGCTCCTGTCATGCTCAAATGCCATGAATGGGGTACCGTTGGATTCAGAATTTCACGGGGGGTTAGCGAATCGTATTCTCCACTTTTGTTTTTCTTTCTAAAATAAATAAAGTCGATACAAACATTTTTCTAGGCTTCAATACCTGAACGGTGGTAGGTCTGTAGATCGATACGGGACAAATTGGATCTTGAACATTTTGATGCGTACAGCAAGACCCGGATAGTTCCTCCGGAACTATCGGATACTGCGTTTTTAAGCCCAAAAACGTACTATTTTCTAGATAACGCAAGGCATAGGGTTCGTATTCACACAACCTTACATTAATTGTAGAACTGTCATTGAATATATGTCTCATTTAGTCGACTTTAAGTCAAACAAGTTATGGAAGAAAACAAACTTTATGTGCGAATAACTAAAAAATTACACACTTTTCCCTTGGTTATGCCCGTGATTATATAAAAGATTACTTAATTCCCTACAAAAGGAAAAAAAATAATTGAAATCGGACGATTTTTAGCAAAGATACAGCTTACTGAAATTTGTAAACATGTTGGTTCCAAACAAAAATGAAGATTTAAATTAATTTTGTTTTATTTGTGGATTATATTTATCGATAAAGTAACATTTGATTTCTTTATCTATTGATACGTTACTTTTTTTGCAAAAGTTGCTTTTTTATATCTATAAAAACATAACAAAAAGCGCCCCCGATAACATTATAGTGTATCGTTATATCCTTTAAATCCAAAATTTTAGAAAATCATCATGTGCAATTTCGGAATCATGAAACCGCCCACGACAACATTATATTCGACTCTAATATCAATTAAATCCGAAAAGTTAGGAAAACGTGATGCGCTTTGGCGCAATCTGATATCCGACATTATTTTAACAAAAAGGGCTCCCGGCAACATTATAGACGACTCTAATATCAATTAAATACGAAAAGCTAGGAAAACGTGATGCGCGACGAAGCAATCTGAAATCCGATATTATTTTCATAAAAAGCGCCCCCGACTACATTATAGTCGACTCTTATATCAATTAAATCCGAAAAGTTGAGAAAACTTGATGTGCAATTTCGTAATCCGAAATCCGATAAATTATCATAAAAAGAGCTCCCGACCTTAAAATCTACACTATATCTATTAAATTCGAAAAGTTAGGAAAACATAATGCGTGATTTTATTCTTTTAGTTTAATCCATCCGAAAATTACAGGGGCATTTCTCTATTGGCTGTAGCCTATAAAAATTTTTCAAAGATCCTCTCTGTAAGGCTCAACGTATTTGCTGAGAACATACTGGAGGTAAACCAGTGTGGATTTCGGAAGGGGAGAGAAACAACTGATCAGGTCTTTGTGATGAGATAGATAATGCAAAAAGCCTGGGAATATAAGATTGACTTGCATATGCTGTTCATAGATTACCGGCAAGATAGTGTGATAAGAGGCAAATTAATAAATGCCTTACATGAGTCCCAAATTTCCAAAAAATTAATAAGGTTATTGCAAATGACAATGAATAATAGCAATGCAAAAGTAGTTATTAAAGGCAATGTAAGCAATAGCTTTCCAATGACGGGTGGGGTTAGGCAGGGGGATGCTTTGCCTGCCACATTATTTAATATTGCACTTAATGTGCTGAAAAAACTAAATTCACCTGGTAGCATACTTAACGCAATGGTGCAAATATGTGCTTACGCAGACAATATATGCCTAATTACCAGGAATTTGAGATTAATAAAGGAAATATTTGCAATATTGAAAGTTGAAAGTGAAAATGTTGGGCTGGAAATTAATCAAAATAAGACAAAATACATGTATGTTGGAGCCGACAATGAGGCTGGTCATCAGAGCATTGAAATATGTGGTCTCTTCTACGAGTGTGTCAAAAAATTCACATACCTGGGGGTGGAAGTGAATTCTGAAAATAAAATTGCTGCTGAGGTATACAAAAGGATCATGGCTGGAAACCGGGCGTACTATGCCAACCTAAAATTTTTTCGATCATCACTTCTGTTACGAGACCAGATGCCATACATTGTTCTCCACAATGTATGGCACAAAAAGAAAGGGAAAGACCAAGGAAAAGATGGCTACAAGATGTTGAGAGCGACTTTAGAATACTGGGTGTGAGAAATTGGAAGAAAGAGCGAGCAATAGAAACGATTGGCATGCTATAATTCAGGAAGCCAAGGCCCACCCTGGGCTGTAGAGCTACATAGATGAGATCATGATGAATATATCTGTATAGTTATGTAAATACTTCTGTTATTACTTAGTTTTTAGTTATTTTTTTATTGTAATATGTATTTTGGCCAGATGTTATGTTAATTTTTATGTACAAAATTGTTATTCTTAAGGGACTTTGTTCCAGAATAAAGTTGACTCTTCTATGCTTTTCTATTCAACTAAAAACATGACTTATTTAAAAAAAACATAATACTTATTTTCCTAATTTTCTGGCAAAAATTGGACCAATGTTTATATAAAATTTTTTATAGCTCTTGAGGTTTACTATCACCCCTATAAATATTATCTTCTACTTAAGGGACACACACATGCAGAGGGAGGCCTTTCGGGCTGAAGTCCCCCTCCCCCACAATGGTAATATATAACCATGTTTTATGGGGGGAAAAAAAAATCTCTTTAAGTATTATTGTTTTTGTAATTACATTTAAAAGGACTTTAGGAATCCTTTAACCAACCACCATTTCATATAGGTGGTTGGTTAAAGGATCTTTCTTTAACTTACTTTACTTACTTTCTTTAACTTTCTCCAAAGTAATTATCTTTATTTTTATAAAAAAAAAAAAAAAAAAAAAAAAAAAAGCTTTCAGGCTGAAGACCACCCCTTCCAAAATTAAATCCTGGATCTGCTAGTGGGGATACCCAATATATACTGAGCATCCTCTAAATAAAGGGAAATTTATTTATCCGGGTAGGCGTGTCTGGCTCACGGTGTAATGTATATATACAATATAATTTCATGTTTATAAAACTAAGATATTAATTTGTACATTATGTAAGTAATCAAATTATGAATAGCATTTTGGGGAAATTCACTTAAATAAATAAAATAGGCATAGATTCTGTAAGTTTAATTTAGGAACAGTGCTCATTATTTTTTTTTTAGTTATATATACATGTATTACATCTCTAAATCAATTGGTACTTATGTTATATACAGTATATTACTTTGAACTAAAGTTGACAGTCAGTAAAGCAATAACTGGATCACTTTGATGAACTAATTTTAATTACAATGAAGTGTAAAAAAATATAATACATTGTTTCATGAAAATACTTGTCCTTATGCTAAAATATTGTATTAAGTCTAGAATCTAACAATATTAATTACAAATCATTAGTTACTCAGATTAACACTTACACAGAAAAAATAAAAATAAACTTCAGATACATATTCTTTTAAAAGGAAATTCATCAACATAATGATTTGAAATTAGGAATCCGAATAAAAGTAATTTCAAAATTAAAGAAAGTTTTGAAAGAACAAATAATTTCAACAAATAATTGAGCACGTACTTAATATTGCACAAAAGTAAACATTAGAACTTAAATAAAATATTTTAAACTTATATAAACTTATTGGTATAAATCAAATAAATAATAGAAACTGGGATATTTATTACAGTTTTTTCAAGACAAAACATCTTAGAATTACAAAATGAAGGCATAGTAGCATAAGTAAAGCGCTTAGAAATGCATAAACCTTTCTTTAATGTAAACTCTTGTCTATCACAATTATTGTACAAATATTCCAATTATCTACACAAGTTTAATATCTTTGGTACAGTTTAATTCTAATTTACAACATGATACGCCTCCAATCAACATCACTCAAAATCTCAATCACAATCAATGTTTTAACATTTAAGAAATTGACAGAAATTATCATCAAATTTGAATAATAATTAATAAAAAAATTATACTTATGAAGAAAAAGTATTGAAATCTATATGCATAACAATCTTACATAATTCAAAGTAAGAAATTCATTTGGAAGCTCTTCAGTCAAAGTGACAATCATTTATTTTCATATTTAAATAAATAATCATATTTGATTGTGTTTATAATGAGATCTGGAATTGATTATATTTATAAAAACATTATATACATAATTTTTTAATTTAATGAGGAACACTTCTCATACCTTACACTATAGAAAAAATTATGAAACTTTAAAAACCAATTGTCGAATTACTTTTTTTTATAAAAACATATAAATTACATACTCTTCATTTTTCCCTTTAATTGAAGAGGATAATAAAAAGAATACTGTTTTTACTTATTCATAGACGCTTAATGTAACATATAAGGCCATCTGTGTTTTCTTCAGAAGCATCAACTCTGAGGAGAAGAAATTCAACTAATCAATGAATTACTAACCACAGTCATATAATAAAAATTGTAAATACATGATTTGATGTTAACTAGCTTTAAATATTCCTACTTAATCTATAACTATATTCAGTAATAACTGATTTTATTTTAAACAAAAGATTAAATAAATGTTTATACATATTTATTTACCACAAAACTTGTCAGTAAATATTTTCTTTATAAACATAAATATTTGTATATTATGGAGTGTCTCATAAAGAAGCAGAAATCATAACAATAAAAAGAAAAAAATAATAAATAAGGTTACTTTGAATACTTAATAAATTATAACACAAGAATAGAACAAAAAATTATTATACCCATTAAAATAATTTTTGTAGCAAAATATTAAATACAAACAAACACACACATAAAAGCAAATAGAAGAGAATGACCACAGAACAATACTTATTTATAATCTACAAGGGCCAACTTGCGTAAGCCAAACACATGCATGCACACACTCACACAGACATATTATATATGTATATACTAATATAACAAACCTAGTTTTATATATATATATATATATATATATATATATATATATATATATATATATATATCCATATCTATAACGAATATATTATAAACAAAACTTTTAAAAAATACTGTATACAAATTCAATTTTATCATCCTCTATGGTGACCAGAAATGAATTATCATGGAAATGCAACTTTTACATTATGAACTGTGTTAGGATTCAGGGAAATCTGAAGAATTTTCAAAGAGATTATGGCACAGAACATGATCAACTCAGCTTTTGAAAGATAATTGACAAATCACATGAAAAAAATAAGAAGTGGGTTGATCTATGTAAACAAATTAAAAGTTAAAAGGGATTATGAATGACCAACCATCTCTTTAGGGGCTACGTCTAAATGATGGAAAAATAGTTAAAAAAACTTTTCTCGTTCCAGAGACATTGAGACGGATCTTCTTTTATTATAATTAGTATAATAAGAGACAACAAAGGCATAAAGAATAAACAGTCTTGGTTTGTTTCTTTAGCAAATCATTTGCTATCTGACCTAATCCGAGACAGGGGGTACTATCAAAGCAAGGCACAAGAGTTGACACAAAAACAACTAATATTAACAATTAAAAATGACCTATTTCAATTCACTTAATTTCAATGCTACCAAGCATGTCACGCAATATGCAATGTTTTTAGTGACTCTAGTACACAAACGTTTGGCACATTTTAAAAAATAAATAAACTCGTTAACCACTATATACTAGTGAATACTGTATTTGTGGTATCTGTTAATTTAACAACTAAGTCATATGTTTCCTTTTTAACTAAAAAATACCTATGACTATTCAAAGGGCAATGATAATTACATTTTGTTTCCTTCAGATAGTTAAAAAACAATAAGATAAAAAAATAGATCATTTCAATATTATATATATTATAAACATACATCAGTGAAAAGGAAATGCCGGATTGACCCCTAATAAATCAGTTATCAAGCTATAGGTAGCCTACTGTGACACCATAAAAAAGCAATAAATATCTATGAGATCACATTACCTAGCATTAGACAGGTCTTCATGGTATACAGAGCTAACAAAAAAAAAAATATATATATATATATGCATATATATATGGGGGCCAGGATAGTCAAGCGGCCTAAGTTGCTTGCAATAGGTAATCAAAGTTAAGCAACCTCGAGCATGGTAAGAACTTCGAATGGTGACCACATGATTGGGTGAATGTCCAACAGGGAAAGCCAATCTGCCCAAGAATCACCCCTCAGAGTATGTGAGGCCTGTCAGCCTACCAGAGGCAATTCACAGCAACTGGGCATATGACTGATGAGACTACCTCGTGTACTTACATCAATAATTCGGATGTCAGTAGACTCCCCGGGATTTATTCTATGGACAGTCTGTTTCAGTAAAAGAAATATAGGTCCTCATACACCTGCTGACTCTGAGCAACCATAATCCATGGATCTAGACTGATCTGTCACTGTTCTTGAACCCAAGTAAGTTGGTGGAAAGAACTCTAACTTGGCCCCAAACAAATTATAGGTTATAAACTGTTGCACCATGGAGACCATGCTTCATAGCATTGTGAGTTTGGTTGACCCCCTCCAGACTATCCATGCTTCCGTAAGCAATATACATCTGTAAGAAGACCACATCTCATGGCCAGATTCACATGGTCTATAGTGCCAACGGAAAAAAAAAAACAAAAAAAAAAAACACATATATATATATATATGTGATATTAATAAAGGTGAAAATAAATTAAAAAAAAAAAACTAAGGTTCTAATAATTTTTTTTATATTTCATCTCTAGAGCATAATTGGAATATATTTATGACACCAACATTTGTTATTGAAATGAATCTGAAAAAAATTCTCGATAACTAGACCATGAGCAATAAATTAGTTAATTAGATAATCAGTTATTTCAAAAATTATTTCATAGAAATAATATTAAAACACCGATGACAAAAAAAATATTTAAACAAACGTTCATCATCTGTAATGAAAACAACCATCATAAAAGAAGACAATAATTTAAATTTCATTAAAAAACACACTGCTTCTAGTCATATAAGTGTATAAAATGTACATTTGGGGTTGGAAACAAGATTGAAACATGCATTTGATACAAAATCTGCACGAAAGTTAATGAGCTAATAAGCTCAATAAACCTATTTAAGCATAATTTTGGAAAACAGGTTTACTTATGCATTATATTATACTTATACTGTCTTTAAAAGAAGTAGTTTTCTTTAATCCATTTCAATTGAGAATACTGGTTATTTGTTATTAACTGTTAACTTTACTTTTTATTGAAATTACATAAAGAAAATTTACTAATCAATACAATCTCAATAACCTCACCTAAGCCAGGGGAAATTAATCTAACAAAATACAAAAGTTACAAATTTAAAAGAATCTCTTATAAAAGAAAAAGAGAGATAGAACATTCCAGAATAGATTGAAAAGAGACAACATAGTTATTAGATAAGTAAAATGAATGGCTTCAAAATTGATTTTTTTTCTTCTTTTTTTGTTTAAAATGATAATCTACCTTTCAAAGAATTAACTAAGTGTTTAATATAATTTTCCCTACATTCCCTCAGGTAAGTGATACCCAAATAATACAATATAATAATTTTAAAATTTTTATTTTATTTAATTTTTAGAAAATAGAACTAAATATCTTATTTTACTCCAATTCCGAGTTTTATACATTTATTTGAAAACCATTGATTATCTTTATATTTGCATTGAAATTTGATCAAATCAAACTTTCCAAAACCTTATGATAAATAAAATGTAAATATTTGATTTGAAATTTTATAGTCATTAAATATTATAAATTCCAAACAAGCTTTTGTTTTATTTTATATTTGTACTTCTTTTTCCAGTTTTTATAATTACACAACTGATGAATATATAGATATAATTTTGGAAGCTGTTAACTTAACCAACAAATGTTGTATTGAACTAGAAATTTGTATATAAATACAATTTTAAGCATAAAATTACAGATAAAACAAACATTAAAAAAAAATATTTTATAGATTATTATGTTTAAATTGAAACATAATATAGTAACAAGTTCTGTTTTCTTTAATTTGTCAAAATGATGAAAGGATTAAGTGACTAAAACAAAAACTGCTACAATAACTACTCCTCCGTTGATGATTATAGTACAAGAATACATCTTGTTCACTACATTTTAGATATCACACTTAGATAGAAAATAAAGCTACAATAAATTGAAAAAGAGCAGCTAAATATATATAGGCCGAGATATTTAAACAATAAACCAATTTAATGATAATTTCATAAAAGTTTAACATGCTACAACAGTTGTTATCTTATAACATCATATCAAGGGAGAGCCTTTATTGGTTAAAATATGCTAGGCATTACTATTCATAAAAACTACATTATTAAATTAAATATTAAGTTAACTGGTGTTCTGTATGCCTGTGGCACTTACTAAAAACCTATCTTACTATACTAAAAAGACATATTTAAATAAATGTTTATGTACAATTAAAAATAAAATTAACAACAAAAAGACATTGCAAAACTAATAATTTAAACACAAAATCATAATAACTGATATTTAACAAGTCTTATGGTAACTTTCAAGTGGTTTCAAAATAATTTTGTACATTATAAAACCACCTAACACTTTGAAACAAATCTATATTGTACATTACACAATTTTTTTTTTATATATTTTTTTTATATATTTTTTTTTTTTTTTTGGTGGGAGCAATCTGATAAAAATCAGATACTCTGATTACATCTAGAGAGTTATTTACATATTGATTTAATTTTATAATATACATCGAGGTACATTGCTTTGAGACCATCATCTAAGATGCGGACCCATATTTTGTAATAGTCAGCCAAACCGTTCTTTGACTAAAAACATAAGTTTCTTCTTTCCTTTATAAACAAGTTTCATATTTTCAACAAGTTGAGTAAACTGGGCATGGCCATCTTGAGCCAATAAAAAAGTATCTCTGGCTTTACCTAAAAAGTCTATAAAGTCACCATAATGCCGAGGTGAGATATGTGCCAATCTGGAATGTGTAGTGTTGACGTATGCAGCAACTGCTGCATCCAAAAGTTGACGTAGTGGAGGACGATCATATGAAAGTGGTTTTGTACTTGACCTACTGCTAGATCCATTTCTGTGATGATGATGGTGGTGATGATGGTGATGATGTTTACCTCCTTCAGAATTTGGATGTGGGCAAGGAATACCTGGAGCAGTTATAGAGCATCTCCTTAAAATATCTGAGAGAACTGTCGCACACTGAACATTCTTAACTAGCAGAGGTATCATATTACTTAATTCTGTTTTCCCTAATGAGTGACTAAGGGCACAAGCCCAATGAATGTCATTAATAGCTGGATGTGTGTCCTGAAACAAGAAATAAATATTCGATTTCAAGTAATTATTAATATCATCATAATGGCATAAAGCAACCATTTTAACATATTAAAAACTCAATTATGAAAGCAGTATGTTACAAAAACTATTTTTTAATAAAAGTAACTCTCATGATCATTTCTAATTATTCATAATGAAACACAATTTCATAAGGAACACAACTGTAATTAGATTACTGGTAATCTGGCTGAGCCCTGCGGTTTCACCTTTGGTAAATTTGGATTATATGTGCCTGTTCCACACACATAATGGCTACATGATCTAGTGCATGCACACTGAATAAGATCCAAAATTTATGTGTGAAAAACAAAAGGGTGAATCACTAAAAAAATTCATAGAAAACTTCTTCAGTTTATGGCTAAATACATAGTTTTTGGGGGAACCAATATATTTTAAACTACTTAAAGAAAACTTACTTAACTTCGGTGTAAACAATTTTTTTTTTAGTTATTTCTCCCTGTTTTATAAGTATATGTTGGTTACATCCACAACCAGATGTAGATACAGCAAAACATGGTTGTTTTTTGTGGAAAAAAAAGTCTTAAGTTAACTATAATATACTAAAAAGTTTCTCCCCAAACACTATTTATAGTTTTTACATTGTTGTGTACTTTACTTTGTGGAAATCCCCTTTATTTCACATGATATTCTTGCAGCATCTAGAATGTTGTCTCTTATACCTATCCACACCTTTCAAGCAAGTCCACCTCTTGCAGCTCTTGTTGTAATTTAACCTCAAATCACAATTTAGGTAATGGGGCCTCGGAGCTGTCCAACCAATATCAATCTTATTCTACACTCTGGGTTTGCATTTCTTATCTTTAGTAATTTGTATGTCTGTCAGCAATAACATATGCTTTCTGATCCTTGAATGACTTTTACAGCCACCAAAGTTCATTGGGTTTTCCGACCAAACAGAAAATAGTCTACAACAGTATTGTCATTATATTTGATCTAATGTACTTTTTCATTAGGATAAAAAGACTTTCCAATGAGGAAGCCATTGTCTATGCAAAATTTCAGCAGTTGTTCACCATTTCTGTTTACAACTTCTTTCCCTGCATGAGACACCGTTAGGCCTTGAGCTCTTCTAGAACCACTTTCAGTATGGGCATTTAGGTCTCCCATTATTATGGTGCTTCTGCTATGGCTATTGCATTTATCAAGATCACTGTAAAACAATTCTTCATTAAGGGTATTAGCATCTTCTGTAGGAGTATACACTTATGTTAGGGTAACTTTGCTTTTTTTTTAAGGCTTATATTGGCTGCTATTATTCTTGGGATAACTGGCTCCCAGTCCTCCACTTTATAGTAAACACCGTCACTCATTAACACCTTCCTTGGCTTCCATTCATATCAGTACATTTCATTATTGCTAAACCATCTAGGGGATCTTGAACATGATCCAGTCGGAAAAAATTGATTCAGCAGTTTTCAGAGATTGGTTTAAATTTAAAAACGGGATATTCTTTATATAATAATAAGATATATAGTAATTTATTTTGTCGAACTGTTCCACTATATTGATATTGTACTATACTACTACATTTCATCTTTCTTCTCATTTTTTATTAGTAGTATTTATGTAATGCCCAATATTATGGCATTTTTAATAACATCCAAATGTGATTTCAACAAAAATAATGGGACAACAACAATAAAAAACAAGGCCTAAAATGTATTAAGTACCTATACTTACAAATTCTTTTAAACACAGTTCAAATATAATTAATTATCAATTGTTTCAAGGATTTCAATTGTTTAAAACTTTCATGGTACAACAGACTACAATAATAAAATACTAAATTGGTCCAGTAGTTTTTGCAATTAGTGGTTACTAACAAAACATGGGCTATCCTTTGTATGATTATGAAAAGTTATTGGTAATTGTAAAATAAATAAGATATCTCAGAATCAATATCTTCTTTTTTTTACTTGAAAACAGATACTAATGATTGATAATACCTGATTATAAGCAAGATGAACATTCTTCATAGCCAACATAGCCAATTTATAAGCTCTAGTTGGGTAACCTCTATGCTCCATGTATCGAGAAATCGTAAATAATTGTGAAGAAGTCATGATATGTGAAGCTGCATCAATAACTATTTGGTAAGCTGTCTCAAAAGATAATGCTTCATTTTCACAAAGAGTTAATGCATTCAAGGCACAGTTTGGAGGATCCTGGAAACAAGATAAAAAAAAGAATAGTTTTAGATGATGTATTTTTCCATTACCTTCATTTTTTAATGACTTTTCAGTTTCAATAAAAATCAAAACAAAAAGCCTCTAAGCGTTAACTGTATTTTTTCAGGCGCCTTAACTCTCTCAACCACTGCGGCTCTTACTCATTTCATAAAAAATATATATACTAGATTTACTTCACAAATAAAAAAATATATTTGATATCAAAGTACATTTTTATGAATAATAAGTAGACATATTAAAAAAAAAAAACTCATTTCAACTGGAGGCAATAAAATTTTTAGACCACTAATATTATTCTGGTGTTTGATAAAATAGTAAACTGCTAAAAAAACAAAAAAAAAAACATTCTGAACATATTAGGTACAACATAATATTGAACAACATTAGTTATTTGGTTATTTTGTTATTACTTATCAAATCTTACATAAAATAGAATATTATATTAACTTTTATCTATACCTTAGTAGCGCATTGCAAAGCTAATGTCCGAGCACAACTAGATAGTTCCTCCTGTTGAGCAAATGTCAGATTAAGTCTCATTATAGTGCCATGTGACATAATGGTAGTAGCAACAGGGCCTAAAAAGTAATCAGAAAAACTAAATAAATATTGGTTTAAAAAAAAAACTCTTATTATTATAACTTAAACATAATAAGATTAAAAAAACTTTAGATGGGTGTGGTAAAAGATCTTAAAATATTGTTATCAGCATTATGCTTGTATCTTTAATTTTGGTTAATATTCATTACCTCAATAAGTACATAATAATAACAACTAAATTTAAAAAATCCTAAGTAGAATAATAAATCAATATTAGATTTCACAATCTGATAATTAATGGTATTTTCAAAAACTATGCCTCTGATAACTTAATTCATCCTCACATAAAAGAAATATGAAAAGTTAAAATAAATAAATAGGTGATCACACAATTTTTATGTTCACAGCATTTTAAAAAAATTATGCCTTCTTTAACATAACTCTTGACCCTTTTATCAAAGAAATCGAAACGTTAAAATAAATCAACATGTGGTCTTATGAAGTTAGTATTTGAAAATAAAATAAAGTTCGATAGTATTTTTTAAAAATATGCCTTCCATAAAATAATAGTTAAGAATCCTATTACTAAGTAATATACTCAAAGAAAAAAAACCCTAAGCAAATCATGTAAATAGAAAGTATTCGCAAGACCTGATTACTTTTTATACTTGTCAATCATCCTTTGTAGCAGCCCTAGTCTTCACATAGTTCATGCACCCGCTAAGAGACTGCACCACCATCGGACACTCATCATAAAAAGATGATTTCTATGTTTTATTTTTGTATATATATTACTTGTTAAAATATATGTTTTATTTTTATATCTGTACTTTAAAAGTATGTTTATTTTATTAAATAAAGTTGAAGCTATATAAAATCAACTGATAAAAAAAATACTATCAGTATATTTGGGTACAACTCTCATGACCCATGTTTTACATGAAGGCATGATCCTCATATCGCAACAGGTTGGAAAATCAGACATTCCAGGCAGTTTGATCAGTATATGCTATATACGCTTTTTGGTTCTACATCAAACTGCCTTTTGCTTCACTATGCTCCTTTAACCTTTCTCCTTTTCTTTCTCCATATAAGGTATGGATGCTCATCCGTCCACTTGCACTCCTGTATACTAAGTCTGAAGGCTCATCCCTCCATTAGTGTTTCATCCTCCCACAAAGTCAGGAGATTTATCCCTCCATTTGTGGACTCCGCCCTGCAGAGTCTTAAGGTTCAACCCTAATGTGCAGACTAAGAGTGATTTGGGTGCTCATCCGCCTGACACTTGAAGTCATCCTGTCTTAGCCTCTTCTTTCGTCCATAAAGTCATATTACCCTAATTAGAACAAGCTCTGTAAAGGTTTTCTGATCACTGTACGAACTATATAATACCTCGACTCGACAAGTTATTCAATTTTAGTTCAAAAACTCAGTAGTGGTTAATCAGATAAGTTTTTTGTATATCTTTATATTATAACATTATATATATAATATATACATTATATTATAACATAGTCAATATAATATTATGTAAGAAAGTCACATTTGATACAAATAAGTTACCAGTTACATTAAAAATCAAATTACCTGTAGCTTCTGTTGGTGTAAATAACTGATACCAGTTTTGCATTATCGATACCAATGCTTCAACACCCACTTCAGTAGCACATGTCACTAACCAGCGCACCATTTCTCTTCTCCTCCAGTTTAATGATGACAGAGTCATTCTCATCACCTTTAAAATCAATAGATTTTTTTAATAAACTTTTTTTTTACAATGTAACTAAATGCTAAAATTAAAAACAAAACATACTTTTCAGTTGCTTTAAGAAATTTAGAAATTATTAAATTAATATCATTAGCTTGATTAATGCTTGTTTATCAAATTCAATAAAAATTCAGTCAAAGATAATTATGTTAAAAACTTAATCCTACGTAGCCAAGTAAACTTCAAAAAAAGCATAACAAGACCAACTGAGTGGCCTCATATTAAAGATGGACATTTATCATTTTAAAAAGTTTAGAAAAAGCCAATTTTTGTAAAATAATTTAAATTTAAACCAATTCTAATGCTTTTTTTTATAATTCAATTTAAACATTCTTAAATAAAATCATTACAGAGAGTTTAAAGAATATCAATAATATAAATATTGGCCTTTTCACTTTCTGAAAATGACAGATGTTGGTCTTCATTATTAAGCCACTCAAAGTGAGTAAATACCACCATAAAAAATTCAATAATCATTAATTGAATTATTTAATGAAGTATTAATTAATTAATAATATGTTACCATAACTTCAAAATAAAAATGAAGTAAAGCATAATTATGCAACTACTAAAAAAAAAAATTAAAATTTACCTTAAAAACTGTTAATGGTTACCTGTAATCCTAATTCAAATGCAACACTAAGCAATGTAGAGTGTCTAGGACTGTTTTCAGGAGTAGCAAATCGAAAAGCATCTTGAGCTAATTTAAATAAATGAGAAGAACTATGAATATGTCTTTGAGCAGATTCTAAAACTGTCCTTAGCCTCATAATCTCTCCTACAAAAAAAAAAAAAAATAATAAAAACCATGAATATCCAGAGGGATGTGCATGATCTCTCTCCTAAGAAATTTATAGCCCTATAAAAAAAAAAATGGCCCCTCAAAAATTTTCATGGTGCAACTTGCGCAAAGTAACCCTCTTTTGTGCACCCTTGGGTTTGACACAGAGTGAATTTTTTTTAATAAGTAAAATGATTAAATTAGCCAAAGACATAAATAGCTGTTTCTGTGATAATAAGATACAAAAGTACAGAAGTAGTATTCCCTCTCCCCAATCAATTAAGATTCAAGAGAACATGAAAAGAACATCTGATATTGGTAATTAAAACATGAAAACTTGGCCGGGCTAAATCAAAATAAACATGATTTCAGTTCATAGAAAGTAACTGATTTATTCTCTAGGTTTTAAAAATACATTTCTCTTTATAAAATCATTCAAATACAGAATATATTCAATTTTGATAAATTTATCCTAAAACCCACATATAATTAAAAGAAACACTAAATAATATAAACAAAGAGTATCAATGATCTCAGCTTACACAATTTTGTAACCATATTTAGAAGTGACCTAATTCATATTTTTTTTCTCATTTTTGGTCATTTATAAGTTATTGGTCAATCATTTGTAATTTATAATAAACTTAAACTTAAAACTCTTCACACTTAAACTTTAAATCGGGATTATAAGATATACTAACCTTTTGCAGCACTTAACATAGTTGAGGAAAGAGCACACTGCTGGGTTTCAATATGACCTAGAGTAAACCATCTTGGATAACGACTGAGTACACTATTTAGGGGTCATCACTATCTTCATGATCTTCAAGTATTGGTAATCTTAGTAATAAAAATTATTTTGTTAAAGTTGTTATTCTCAAGTTATATATATATATATATATATATATATATATATATATATATATATATATATATATATATATATATACATTATATATTATATAAATAAATATATTTAATAAAACTTATATTGATTTTATTAGCCTTAGGGCATATTTTCACCTCTAGGAAGTATTATAAGTCGGCAAAGACTCATTTTTACTTCTTCATTTTATCTGTATTGCTATCTAAAGGTCATAAAAGTCATAATTGTCCAGAATGTTAATGCCACAGAGAAAAGTTATTTATATATATTTTAATGATGTAGAGATGGTTGACCGTTGATATAATATGAGAAGGAGTTAGTCGAGGGTGCGGTCAAATAAATAAAAAAATTAAAATATATAAATTATTTTAATTTTTTTATTTATTTGACCGCACCCTCGACTAACTCCTTCTCATATATATATTTTAATTAAGTTATTTATATAAATAATCATTTATGTGAAAATCTTGTTATTATTTTTATGGTATTTGCTTATGTATATGCCTCTTCACAAATTCATCATTTGTTTTATAATAATATCATAAGATTTCATACAAAGATATATTCTAACTATATGAAATAAATATTATACCTCATCGCCCTTAAGCCAACTTCATATGCAAGGTCAGGATAATAATTAAGAAGTGCATGAAACAGAAACCTAGCGAATGTATGCATAGGTATACTTTCAGGATGAATTCCAATTCCTAAACCACTAGATGGGCCTCCTTCCAATAAAACAATAGCTTGTCTTCTTAATACAGCCACTAAACTATTGTCCATTTCCATTTCTTGAAGCTTGGCGATTAGTCGGTCTTCTTGTTTACATGCTTTCTCCTGGAAGAAACAAAAGAACAATTATTAGTAACTTATTATTGGAATGTTAAAGTTCACTTACTTTGATTAAGGTATAACTAAAAAATGAACATTTTACTAATGTTTAAAGCAACAAGTTTCAAATCATGAGACTACAGATCTCTAAAATTTCTAAGTAGGGGAATAGTTCCATGTAAGCCATCAGGTATCAAACCATTCAGAGAACAGGATAGAAAAAAATCCCAGTGTCAAGAGTTTTAAATTATTTTGTGGTTGGACATTGAACAACTATATACACTCCCTGGACTGGATTTTATTGTTATTTCAGATTGAAAGTTTAATATAATTGAAAATTTTGTAATATAGAACTGAACACAAAAGTTGTAAAATAAAAAAGTAAGATAATCTATTGGAGTTCTCCCATAGAGAATTTTTTTTCTTTTTGTCAGTCAAGAGTTGGTGATGAGATATGTGAATAAGAAATGTGGTATATAATACATTTTTTTAGATCAAAAATACCCAATTTGCGAAGCACCTCACCGAGTGAACGATTGCTCTCGTTTCAAGAGCCTCACCCCACAACAACGTCACGATCGTACTAAAGCTCTCAAAAGATGCATTAATTGTCTAGCTTCCGGAAATTTCGTGAACAAGTGTACCTCTCGCGTATCTTGCCACCTCTGTGATAAAAGGCACCACTCCCTCCTACACTTTTTCTCTCAGGAACCTCAGCAAACCGAATCTCGCAGTTCGAAATCCACACCACGTCGTTATGGTGCAAGTTTGAATAGTGAACCTACCCCGAATAAGTCATCTTCCGCTCCTCATTCTCCGGTCTCACCATCGAAACACTCTCACTCCAGCTCGTGTAGGAATGTCACATCGCCTATCGATCGAGACTCGCTAACCACACCTCGTGAAACCACCGTTCTCCATAGTGCAACAGCTCTACTTACTCACTCCGAAATCTCTGTCACCGACCACTCCACCCGCGCCGTGACAATTCAAGGTACAGTTCGTCCAAATTGCTTCGGGTTCCATTCGATAGTTCCACATGGAAGCAGTTTGTTAGATTACGGCCATCCTCTCACCAGTCATAATTCGCATTATGACCAAAAGTCGGTTCCATCGTTCAAATCGTTTGTTGATCCCCTTAGTTTGGTCAGGGTGGGCGGCAGTTTGCGTGACGATTTCTTGAATGATCACTCCCTCACCAGTCATATATCACAATATGAACAAAATTCAATCCGATCATTCACACCGTTTTGCGTTCCCGTTGGTTTTGGCAGGGTGGGCGGCAGGTTTTATTACGCTCCTGCACTACCGGTAAACCCTCATGTGGCAAATTCGTTTGTTGACCGCTTTCACATTGTCTTTCCGTACGCCGTTCCATAACTGTTGCACTCTTCGTTCCGTATTCCCGTATGCCTCACCTCACCTGTCTTTTAGACAATAGTCCGTAATTTGCGAGCAGTTGGCAACAGTAGTGTTTCGTTTGGAATATGTTCTCTCCACCTCACCTCTCCATTCTATATATTCCGCTCCTGCGGATTGTTTCTCACCCCATGATACTTTCTGTTATTTCTCCTCTGTTGTTCCTTTCTCTACTACCTCCTCTACCACCAAAATGAGATCTCTAAAATTTCTTGAAATTTTGGTGGGCGGTATGTTAACGCCGCATACTCTCATACCTTTCTTTTTTTGTGTTATTTTTTTTCTAACCACTCACCCCTTTTAAGTGTTAATGATGGAAGGTTTATTTATTTTTTTGGTAAAAAAACTGAGGGACAATTGTCTCAAGAGGGTATTTTTTATTTTCTTGTGCATGTATTTGTTTTTTTCTTTAATGTTTTGCATGCACATTTTTTATGTTTTTACAGGTCTCATTTTACTCTCCTTTTTTCCCTCTTTCCCAACAAAATTTAATTTTTCTCAAATTTTCCCCACCTTTGAGGAAACGCACCGGGGAAAGATTTGTACTTCGGTTTTGAAGTACCCCTGGCCCCAACAATAAGTAAAACCTATTTATTTGTTCTTACTACTTCATTAATTAAATAAAACATTAACATTCATATTAAATGTTGTTTTAAGTGAAGGTATGTCCCCAAATGCTTTGTTTAGGAGATGGATTAGATAGAATAGGATGCAATTAGATAGAATAATCAATCATATTACAAATTTCATCAGTTTCAGTTTTGTATAGAATGTCTTTGTTGATGCAATGGATAGTTTTCCTGATATAAGCAAAAACCCTAAAAAATTGGCCTAAGAGCGAGAGGGGACTTTTAGTATGTTTAACTCCTTACTAGTCCAAACAATTCCATAAAGTCAAAAATTGTGTCCCTAACATTTCCTTCTATACCTTCATTCTACTTCATTTACTGGATTATGAGGCTAAAACACGTGTTTCCCGGCAACCTGATAATCTCAAGTTTACATGATAAAATAATATAATAATATACGTGCCCGCGTCCTGGTGGTGGGGAGTTTTTAACAACCTTGCCTTCCACTTAGGAAAAGCACCATATAGCCTCAATGGCAAAGGGGCGGACCCAAAAAAAAAATTAAAAATAAAACTGAGACATTTCGGGTTAGTACATGCTCTTTAAAGGAGCACCATGGGTCGAACGATCGAGTGCTTGTAAGCAATGAATTGCTATGACCGTAGCCACAAGCTTTAAATAAGAATATAATTTAAATAATATATAGGTATCTATCGTTTACCAATATTAACTGTTAAAAATCAGAAAGCAACTCAACTGTTCCTGAATTATCTGTCAAATAGAGTTTTTGAAACAATGTTACTAACCGACTATTGGATATCTCTAAACTAAATTACTGGTTGCTGCAGAGTTTAAAACTGAATATAAAAAAATTGAAACTACTATAAATGACACCCAATGATATCATAGCCTGCATTGGACTCACTTCTGGAGACGTTTGCTATGTCGGCCAAGGTCATGGTTTTTCAATTGTAATTTTTAGTATTAATAAATCATATGTGCCTGTGTTAATGTGCTCAAACTTTGAAATGCATTTTGGTCCTTAATTTTTTGATGATTGTTATGCATATTGAAGTCTCTCATGCCAACAAAGTATATAAAGTTATGAAATTTGTTTATACATTCTAGTTTTGTTATAAAATAGTTAAATTAGCTGAATATGAGGTACATTGGAAATTTAATGCTCTTTCAAATTGATTATATTGAATTTCTTTGAGATATAAGAGAATTTCTTAGATTATGAGTTGTGAGGAAAAATTAATTCCCATTAGAAAAAAATATTTATGAACTAAAAAAATTCCCTGACTTCTCCCTGTATTGAAAATTCTCTGAATTTTCCCTTTTTTACAGGTCAGTCGCCACCCTGTATATAACAACTTACAAATCCATGCTGAACAAAGTCAGAAAATAGTAATATAAAAATTATAATTTTTTTTTTTTAGACTCCTATGCAAGAACCCTTCTCAGACAGGGGTCCAGTATTTTTTGATCTAGTATCACAAAAAAAAAAAGTTTCATTGAAATCGGTGACCCCCCATCTGTAACTTCCCCTGTGAATGAAATCCTGTGAATATTCTGATACAACTTGAGCTCAAAATACTGTATTAAATGTGTTTAACCTTTTAGCGACAATGAGCAGCAAGGGAGGAGCAGCCTTGAGGACAGCATTGGCTGACAGCTCTCTGCGTGATGGAATAGTTTTCATCACCTCTACTCACCACTTTATGTTCTTAATTGAGATAGAGTGTAATATTTCTCAATAAACAAGTTTCGAATTGAAAAAAAAAAAAAAAACTCACCACTTAAGCCTTCTTATTGAGGGCATTGTTTCAAACTTTCATACAATTGAAATCTTGTATTTTTACAACATGGTCTTCAATAAAAGTATTTTTTATAAAATATGAACTTTTAATAAAAGTATTTTTTTATACAATTTTATGAGTCAACAACTAAAAACAAAACTGTTTCATGTTTCTATTATGTTCTCTCTCTCTCTCTCAAAAAAAAATGCTAAAATATATTATTATATTAGTCTGACAGGCTCTCAACTCATATGAGTCCACCATCGCCTGGGCCAGATTTTATCTTGACTCATAATGAATCCACTGTTAAAGGGTTAAACCGTCTTTTACAGGTTATGTAAATAAAGTTTTTTTTCAGTGAACAGCTTCTTAATAAGTAAGTTCATGATTATATTAATGTGATGAATATAAATTGCCAATACTTAGATAGTAAAAAAAAAAGTTGCTGTGAAATTGGCTATTTCTCTTGGAAAAAAATATTTTTGATTTAACACCCTGTTTTGGTGGTAAAGGAGCAAGTGAATCTTAAGAGCATTTGATGTTGATAGCAAAAGCGATACAATGCTGTTTTGATTTGATTATGAACATCACAAAAAACTAAATAGTAATTGATTTACTCACAATACAAGTAAAAATAATACTTAAGCCATTTAAAAAATAAATACGAAAATCAAAATGCATTACCTGAGCATACAGTCCTGCTGGCATTATTCGTTGTTGACCGAGTCCTATTAAAGCTACTTCAACTGCCAAGGACAAATAAGTTTCAGATCGATCTCTTGAACCAACAACTGCAATGTGGTGGTATTTTGGAGGAATAGTAGAACCTGAATCATCAACTCCAACTGGATCTATAAGAATAAATAGTAAAGTATTTATATATGGGATAATATTTTCGTGCTTTTGGCAGGTGAATTTCAATAATGATTTTATCAATAAAATTTAATTCATGGATTGATTAAAAAAAATATTTGAAAATTCTCCAAAATCCTAATTTATAAAGCAATTAGTGGCAGCCAGAAAATTAAACTTGAGTGACAATCCCTAGTTTGAACATAGTGGATTGAATAACAATGTCAATTTTCTTGGTCAAAAAAATTATTAGATCTAATAAAAAGCAATGTGTTACAGTAGTTGTTTTTATTAAATTGGTCATAATCTTTATTGGAGCCATATAAAGGCTAATAAAATAGATGAGAAAGTTATAATGCTTGATAAATATGTTCTTCGGCACCCAAAGGATCATTCTTATCATGAAATTTTGAGGGACAAAGTGTCGGTCAAATAAACTACAAAGAAGCTTTGATCACTTTTTGTAACATGAGTGGAGAACAATTCTAAATATGTTAAAATTCTCTATGGATCCTTCACTAAGAAACCAGCACACAATGCAGTTAATCAAGACATTTTAAATCAAGTTTGAAATTCTTGGGATGAAACATATAACTTATTTTTTCAATTCCTGAAATCACGATTAAATATAAAAACACTAAAAAAACTCATTTTGAGCTGCCAAACACAGTTAAAAGAAAATAATAATAAATAATTAAAAAATATCATACATCTATGCGTTCAAAACTTCTCTATTTCTTTTTTATTATTTAACTCATCACAATCATAGTTTATACTTCAGAGTTATAACCCATCTTCAGAACCATATTATTTTTATTAATGCTTAGGCAAAGATGATTTTAAAATTATCAACTTGTCAATTACTTCAAATAAATTATTTTTATTAAAATACACAATTGTATTATCTGTCACCTATTTATCATTTTATATAAGTCTAATGATTAGAGACTGGATTTCCACGTTATTGCACATTTTATTCGCTTGCATGTAAAAACTCCACACCCGAATATATCCGTTTCAGGATCTGTAGAATAACATATTTAAATTTTACAGAGTAGCAAGTGTCATGGCCGCTAGTGCAGTTCAACTTACACGTCGCTCTGTCTTAGTTAGTATCTAATGTGCTTATTATTTAAAATACTGCTGTAAGACTTTTTCTACAATGACTGTATTAACAGTTTTACATTTTTACATTCCCATATGATCAGATGAGTGACTAATTATTAACAATGAAACAGTTATAAATTAGTGATCGTTTGGTTAGACTATGTGGTTTGTAATTCCTTTGTGGATTTTACCTTATCTGTGATAAGTTCACGGCCAAGGCTCGGCTCTGTGTACAATAACATTTTTCTGTGTTATTCTCAGTTGAATCCAAGAAATTTTTTTTTTTCTTTCCACAGGCTCTTTTATTTTATTCTTTTCTTTGATTATTTATTTTTGGAAATGAATTATTTTATATCTGTATATATTTATGTATATAATTTTGTAAATAGTTTAATTTTTAAGAAGTTATCTCATAAATTTTAATTTTAATATTTAGGTTTATATATATATTTTTTTTTCTTTTCTCTATCACTTATCATGGATCTGGATAAGAACACATCATGTGAAGACTCGGAGAAAGTGATACGCAACTCGGGGATCCAGAATACTGACACTATCTTTAACAGATTAACGCACATATTGGGATTTGCTGGAGGTCAACCAGCGAATAATAAGGGCAAACAGGTGATATTTTGGCCTCAGCAAACACCTTGGAAGCTCTGCCATCTCCCGTCATACAAAATGCCTCATATATAGGGCCCTAATTAGGCCTGTTCTCACATATGGATCGGAAAGCTAGACCCTCTCTAGCAAAGAAGAAAAAGATTTACTAATCTTTGAAAGGAAGATCCTTTGGCGTATCTTTGGACCTGTTAACATCGGTGATGATTGGACCTATATGATCTGTATGGGGAGACAGATGTGTTGAGGTGCATCAAGCTTGGGCGACTACTTTGGGCTAGCCATGTAGCCAGAATAGGAAGTCCCAAGGAAGTTGTTTGATGGGAAGCTCTGCAGGACAAGAGGGAAAGGCAGACCACGTCTAAGATGGGAGGACGCCGTCATCCAGGAGGCCAGAGAAGTACTGCATACTCACAACTGGCGAGTGACTGCGTAAGATAGAGCTATCTGGCATTGGCTCATTGAGATGGCCAAGGACCACACCGGTCTGTAGCGCCACGGAGTTAGTTAGTTTTATACAAATTTAGTTTGATCATAAAATAGATAATCAACTATCTAAAATTAAAAACAAAAAGTTATTCTTACCAAAATATGATGGTGGTCTAGGTGTATGGTCATCATTTACTATTGAGGCTTCTGCAAGTGTATCAAATAAACAGCCAATTGGATCTAAAGGATGACCTATCCATCCATCAGCCCACATTGCATTAGCACATGCTTTGCTGGAGCAGGAAGTTTGGTTTTCACAAGATTTATTTTCCTTTTTTAAGCAACATTTTACTGTACAATTACTTGAACATCTATTTGCATTAATTCGATGGCTTTCATAACAACGAGAGGAATATTGTCTGTACTGACATTCACTAAATCTTTGGTTACAATATCGGTAATCATAATATCTAGAATGATCTGAATATTTGCATTTAGAAGTACATGCTTGTTGGCTGTCCCCACATTTTTGTGTATTAGATTTATTTTCATTTTGTTCTTGTTGGCTTTCATGCCATCTTCTTTGAGCAGTCAGCTGTTGCTGTTTCATAGTTCTTACAACTGCCACGGCTAATCTCAAGGCTGCAGTTTGATGGCCGTGTGACCTAAGTGCATCAACACGTGCAGCACAAACTGGTAAGGCCTCTAAAAAAAATAATAATAAAAAATCTTAATACAGACATTTAATTTTTCTTGTTATATAGGCAATAAGCACTTTTAAATCCAAAAAAGGGTTAGAGGAAATTGTATAATATCAAGGTATGACATTTTATGGTGCTCATCAGCAACAATTGAGACAGAGGAAAAGATATTGGATTTATATTATAGCTTTATTACAAAAAAGTTCACAACTTTTTTCTAAAAGGTTTTATCAAAACTCTTCAAATGGAACTTTTTTAAAAACTAATATTTCTTGCTTATAAATATTGTCAGTCTTTAGAAAGAACTTTCTTGGGGAGAATTAAAAGCTATATTATACAGATGACCTAATAATAATAATAAGATAAGCGTGATAATATATTAAAGGAACAGATGTAAAAAGGCTTAAAACTAGCATGTGGATCAAGGATTAACATCAATCCAAGCAGAACTATTATTCACTATTACACAGTGGGCCAGACCCCCTTACCGTGCACCCTCCCCTCCCCCACATCCCTATAAATTGCATATTGTTGTGTTCCTTGTAACTATTTATTAAAAAAAAAGCCAATGTTCCCACAAAAAAAAGTGAACGCACTGCCCCAAAATGGTGTCCAAAGATGGCGGATTTTTATTTTTATATACTTCCCAGGAAATGAGTCATATTAATACCAGTTTTATAAACTAAAATAATATATACCTAATCTTAACTATATATAATGAATAGCTACCGGGTTGTTTAGTAAAACTCATATATCATTAATTAAAAAATTAATTTTTAATTCCTTTATTTTGTGCAGAAGTTGGACTATATCATAAATAAATAGGAAATTTTAATATTGAATGAATTATTCTCTATACACAAAGAAAGATAGAAAGGGTGACGCTATAAGTTCATATATAAAACCAAAACTGAGTGTTTGGATTTGGTCTCAAAATGAGGAAAAACGCGAAATTGAACCAGAAAATTGGGAAAAAACATTAAGCGAACAAGAAAGGAAGTGCCAAAACCTCGGAATAGATAAAAAGGACCAGTATCCATTATATAGCTAAATGAAGGTATAGTAGACAGATCAACAGAATATTTAAAGATGCTGCTAAAAGGGGGTCCATTACAGTTTGGATGTTATTAAGTGGACGATGTAGGTTTATTATGGTAAAAACCACTTTATTTTCGATTGATGAAGGTGGATATTGGGACTATCTTCACTTTGAAGCAGGATATAGAGAGGTATATCGAGAAAGTTATAGCTCATAGCTCTCCTTCTGTTTAGTGCATTTCCAAAGGTTTTTTAAGGAATCTAAAAGGAAAATGAGTTTTTCTGAAAGACAATTAGATATTAGCATAATCCAAAGTGTGAGACACTAAGCAGATAAAAAGCTATTTTTCTTTTTATATGGACTTCTCTATAATCTGCCATAAAGTGAAGACAGTCCCCATTCCTTAAAATCCCGGTAGCTATTCATTATATATAGTTAAGATTAGGTATATATTATTTTAGTTTATAAAACTGGTATTAATATGACTCATTTCCTGGGGAGTATATAAAAATAAAAATAAAAAAAAATCAAGATATTTAGCAAAGTATTTTTTAATTAAGTTTTATTATTATAATTATATCATTTTTACAATTGAGGTCTTCTTAAACGACCTACGTATAGAATAAAGGAGGTTAAATTTAAAAAAAAAATAATAAATTTTTTATTTTTTATAATTAAATTATTGCATTAATATTTGTTCGTTAATAAAACCAATATAATGTACCAAAAATGTTATTGTATCACTATAGCTAAGCCATTTATGAGTACTAAATGGTGTGGTAGAGGCCTGTAGGCACCCACGCCAGTACTGCTTTTCTGCCGCATAAGTGCATTTTCTACGGAACTGCTTAAAATTTTTTAAAAAATAATGAGCGTTTTAGAAAGAGAAATATATTCTCCAGATGTTTTATTTCAGCACGTTTTGCGTTATTGTAGGCCGTTTAATTACAAACGAAGCTTGATTTGTAACTTGACAATTTTTTTTTTTTTAAATTGACTTTACTGGTGTTTTTCATAGCCTAAACCAATTATTTTTTAATATTTCTTCATGTTTTATTATTCTATGACTATTCAGCTTTAATAAAAGACCAACTATGAGGCAATTAAGCCAAATGCTGATTCTCAGTGACCAAAAAACTAACTAAAGTCAAAGTCGTCAATCCGCCATCTTTGGACACCATTTTGGGGCAGTGCGTTCACTTTTTTTTGTGGGAACATTGGCTTTTTTTTAATAAATAGTTACAAGGAACACAACAATATGCAATTTATAGGGATGTGGGGGAGGGGAGGGTGCACGGTAAGGGGGTCTGACCCACAGACTATATGATATCAAATATGAGAAGCAAAGAACCTAAGAGTACAATTAACAATTTAATCATTTTGTAAAAACTATTAAGTTGAATTTTTTTTATAAATTTCCTTAAACATTTCAATACACACCTTGAATATTAGGCAATATGCTTTAAGAAAAATATCATAAATAATTCCAAATATCTTAAGATTCCAAAGGTAAGTAAATAGTAGTGACAAAGAAGAGAACGCCAAACAAGAATTTCTTTAACCTGTTAACTGGGCATGATGAAATATTTCTTCATACCCAAACTACTACTGCAATGGACATGACGAAACTTTTGTCAAGGAAATTTGCCAAAAATTTTGAACGCATTAAGTTTTATATAGTTCTTATTTTTTAAATCCTAACGTGGTTCTATGCCAGCATATGTTTACATTTTCGTAACCAGTCAAGTATTTTCCCCGGTTAAAAGGTTAACATAAATTTACAGTATTTACTAGTGCAATCATCTAAAGATGTAAGAATTATTGAAAACCCAATCAAAAGGTTGTGGCTGAATTGCTCAATAATTCCTGCATAGAAGTTTCTTTCCACTTCTTGTTCAAATCAAACAATTTTTACTCCAATCTCATGTCCAAAATGAGGTTTCCTGCTTCCAAAACTTCATGGACTTGATTATTAGGTTAAACATCTATTACTCTTCTATGCAGACATTGGCCTCCTATCCCACCATACTGTACTGTTCTGAAGCTATCCTACTGTACTGTAAATATAACAGCAGCAATAGCAATAAATTGTAAATGTGTTTGTAAGAGTAAAAGAGTAAAAACTCAAGCAATCTTACAAATCTCTTAACTTGTTTGTCTTTAATCAAGGAGTACCAGCTTTTGGTGTCAGCTCGGCTATAAGAGCTCCTATATAACTTGAGTAGTGGCTACTGTATTTGGAAAAACATCGGATGTACTCTTATCATATTCAACTTTTGCATCACAAAGTTTGTCAGGGTGTCCAGCGATTCTCCTCCAAAAAATTCTCTTATATTGCCCAGTTTTTCTAGATTTTTCCCAGTTCTTAAACTTTTCTTGTTTTTTTTTTTCATATTTTTACGGGTTTTTTTTCATATTTTTCTTAGTTTTTCTAGTTTTTACTCCGTAAAGGAGTTTGGTTTTAAGAAAGGTTACATAGATTTATTGAAAAATAAAAAAAATTCACAAGTTTTTAATGTTTCTTTTTATAAAATTAGATGTATTTGTATCAAATCCGTTTAGATATTCAAAAAATAATAATAAGGAATAATGAAGTAAACATGATCAAAATAAGTTGACATAAGTACTAAAATGGTAATTATTTATAAATAGTAATTTTATTCTAAGATTACCATTTTAGTACTTATACCACCTTATTTTGATTATGTTTACTTCATTATTCCACCCTTTGTAACGGTTATTATTTTACTTTTACGGTTATTATTATTTATTTTTTAGTTATTGTTATTGTCATTATTCTATCCACTTCATTTTACTTTAATTTTTTTACCTACATTGTTTATGTTTCTCATACTTTGTTATATGGTTCTTTTTTCTTAGCCCTAATGAAGGCCTGAACTTCAGGTCGAAACGTCGGCAAATGTTAAAATAAATATTATTATTTATTTTTGTCTTTTTATTTCTGACTGATCACCCCAACCATCCTTCTCTTCAAAAATAAATATTCTTATTTATTGTTACTATTTTTTTATAATGATCACCCGAACCATTCTTCTCTTCAATTAAATCAATAATGTGATACAAAAAAAACTATGCTTGATATGAATTTAGATTGGAGTGAATCTTCACTATATCATGGATTTGATAAAACATGGGTTTAGTCCTGGTCTCACTCTCTGATTGAGGTACAGTTGACGATTCTGGCCTATCTATATTCTTGGTAGACTAGCCTTCCCTTTGTTACTGACATTTCCTTTTGGGACACCCTGTATTATACTGCAATGAACCAAGTTTATATTTAGTTTTATATCATGTAATATTTACATCATTTCACTATAATTCAAATGTATTTAATAAAAATGTATTCTTTTCGCACAATATTTATTTTAATAGTCTTTATGATTGTATTTAAATATTTATTATAATATATCTTCACACATATAATATAAATAAATAATAAAAAAAAAACTTGATTAAAAAATTGGTTAGTACCATGCCACAGAGGTTGTCCAAGAGAATTAAAGCTTCCAGAGAGCAATGCACTGTCAGGCACATGGCTGCAATAAGAATCACTTGAGAGAATATTCTTCAAATGCATATTATCCCACGACATCCCTAAGGCGTCCAGTGCCCTAAAAAATAGAATAATTGCATTATTTCAATTTCCTTACTAATACTAAAATAAATAAGGCACCAAAAATAACTGATAAATATTTCCATAATTTAAATAATGATTCTTATTTAGAAGCCTATGAATTCTATAAAACTTATTAAAAATATGTCTTAACAGCTATAAATATTCCACTTGTAGAAATATAAATAATAAATAAATTAGTTAATAAATTAATTAAGTTATTTTTTAAGCAGAACTGACTAATAACATAACATATACAACATTTTAATTAATGTAAGTATTTCTGCCTATGTTCTAGATTTATAGCTACACGACTATTTTGTTTTCCCTAATTTGGTAATATATTACATGAATAGTCTAGGTCAAATTGGATGAGATCAGCTTTTATTTTGTGGCGGGTTACATGAAATAAATTGTAACCATCACATTTAAGCTAGAAATCTATAGTATAATGTGTCTTAAATAGAATATTAAAAATGCATTAAATGAAATAAATAATGATATACTATATAAAGATATAACTTTAAACTTTAAAAATTTCATAATTCCTAAAGGAATTACTTACGTTCCACAATCAGTTACAGAGAACAAAATGTAAACATAATCAACAGCTGTACTGTATAATATGCCATAGTACCAACTAAATTCAATTTGAATCAAATACAATATTAAAATTTAAGATAGTTTTAAGAACTGGTCCATTTTAATCTACATATCTAACCAGCAATTAATGGTAACCTTGTTTTATAACTAAATTGACTAATTTTAAGTATTTCATAAACATTATAACCTGATATCAAGATATTCATGTACAAATAGTAAAATAATCTAATTTTGTACCTATGAAATATTTTTCTGGGAACAGTATGGCTATGGTTTTTACCATGGGTGTTTTGAACCCAGTTTTTACGTCTTGAGTTGAAACCTCTATATCTATCAGCAGCTCTCTCTACACTTTCTTCATCGGAGCTACTATCTGATGAACGGTGAACTTCATTAAACATCTGTAAAAAAAAAAAAAAATATGATATATTTATTATATTATATATTATATAGGCATTCCAACAAGGGTTGCACGTGGGATGCAACAAAGGCATCACTTCAGTACTGAGCTCCAGAGGTCACGGTCAAGACAATCACCATCCTGAAGACCCCAGACAGCCATCTCCTCTTCCACTTCATGTATCCATCTTTTTCTTGGTCATCCTCGTCTCTGTCTTTCTGACGGTTACCAATCTAGGATTTGGTTAGGCCATTGCTCGGTATACATTTGTCTTACATGGGCGTATCAGACCAGTTTTCGGCGTCCAATTCTCTGGTTGACAGATATAGAAGCCTCCATTCTGTCCCTAACGACCTTGTTCCTAATTCTATCCAGCCTTGTCACACATAGGCATCTCCTCCAAAAGTACATTTCCACAGCTTGTACCTTTGAATATTGCTGGGATGACATGGTCCAGGTTTCAGCTGCATACATCAGGATGGATTCTATGATGGTGTGATACATCCTTCACTTGTTTTATTTTAGAACTATGTCATTCCACAAGACAGGATAAAGCATTCATGTGGCTTTCCAAGCTTGCTGCACTTTTCTCCTCACATCAATTTCTGAGGATCCCGAAGAATCAAAGTAAGATCTCAGATATTTAAATACATCCATCTTTGTACAGCTATGAGAATTGACACGTAGATTACCGGCGTCCTCAGTGCAGAGGACCATGTATTCTGTCTTTGAGAAATTCATCTGAAGCCCCACAGACTAATAACATGCTCATAGTGAGCACACCATATCTTCCAAAAACACCTTTCGAATATGACTTGATCATCGGTGAACCGGATCCGTCAGAATATTGTTGTTTTCATCCCTAATTCCAGACGTTACGGGCTCTAAACATTTACGTGATCTGTTTATACCTTTTTACATGTCTCTTACATTATTTTCGATTCTATTAGTTTCTATTTCAATTATTTTATTTTTAAGATACTCCCTTTTTTTATTTTTGAGCAATTTTGTCGTTTCGTTCTTTGAGATTCGGAAGTATTCCAGATTGTCTTCGCTAGGATTATTTAGAGCTTTTAATTTAGCGGCTTTTCTTTTTCACACATGTTTAAGCAATCTTCATCAAACCACGGTTTGTTATTCTTATTTTCCTTTTTTCCTAGACACGAGTTACCGACCGCTTTAATATTATCACTGATCTCTACCCATAACTTGTCAATATCCTCGTGGTCCTCGTCAGGAGGCTCTAAAGCTTCAAACCTATTCTTAACATCTAGCTCGAATTGGTTCTAATTGATGGATTTTTTAATTTTTCCAAATTAAAATTCTCAAAATCGAAACGGTTTTCTTTTCTCTTTTTTTATATTAAGTTTTTGTCGAAGTTTCGCGATTACTAATTCATGATCCGACCCACATTCTGCTCCGCGATAAGACCGTACATTAATTATACTGCTTTGCCAGCTATGTTGTATCAAGACATGATCGATTTGATTTCGTGTTTGCGAATCCGGTGATGTCCAAGTATATTTATGAATATCCTTATGTTTAAACGTCGTACTTTTAATTATCAGGTTTTTCGAGATGGCAAAGTTTATCAGACGGATCCCATTATCATTACTATATTCGTGCAAACTTTCTTTACCAATCGTCGGAATATAAACTTCTTCCCTTCCTACCTTTGCGTTCGCGTCACCTACAATTATTTTCATGTAGTTTCGCGGTAGTTTATCATAAACCCATTCGAGTTTATCGTAAAATTCACATTTGACTTCATCGTCACTGTCTTCGGTCGGACAATGTATGTTTATTAATGCGATTTTAAACCAACGTCCCTGAAATGTAGCTACCGAAATTCTATCACTAAAGAATTGTACGTCCCTCAAAGCGGATAGTAATCTACTCCTAATTAGAAACCCGGTACCTAAACAATGATTCCCGCTTCCTCCGTACCAAATAGTGTACTTTCCTTCCCTCATCGAGCCCTCCCCTGGCCAGCGAACCTCTTGCAGAGCCACGACATCCAAATTGTACCCATTAACCTCATTCGTGACCGATTTTAACCTCCCTGCTGTGTTTAAACTCCTTACGTTCCACGTACCAATATTTAAATCCCTATTTTTCAACTTGCACCATAAATCCCCTAAAGTAATCTCCACCCGGAGACCTGAACGGGGGACTAGTTTACTTCCGGATAATGAGCGTTTTACGTTAGGGAAATCCATGAATATTTGTGGTTTATGGTGAACTAAAGATATGTGAGTAGGGCGTTCAATCCTACGTCACACATGTAATTTTAATAATATTAATTTTTAAAAACATATTAGAATAAAGTTCAATTAAAATTTACAAAAAAAAACAGGAATTGTTGGTGACACATTTCATTAAAATAAGTGGAAAAATGTAAAAATATAATTATAAGGATTTACTAGAATTTTAAAACATCAATTTCTTTTTAAAGGTTTATATTTAAGTTGTTTAGTTTAGAAATATATATTTTCTATAAAAAGTGAAGTGAATTGTTTTTGCTTTGATATTTAATTTACAAATTTGAGCTATGTCACCTATAAAAACAGATAATTACTTTTTTTTTTAAATTATGCATGTTTTTTGCAAATTTTTTTAAAACTTTACCTATTTTGAAAGCTCGATAGTTCCCTTCCTGTTGAGTTTAGAAAAAAATGGGTACCCCTTAAATAGATGGTCAGGAAAAAACCTCCCTTGTTATTTAATGTTATATCACATAACCTCCATTCTTATCTCGTGCAAGCTCGGTTATTTCATTATTTATTTTTTGTTCCTCATGTAATCTGTGAGTTATTCTATTGTTTATTTTTGTTCCATTAGCTTGATTTTCGTCAAATTATGGATTTGTCAAATTATATTAAATTGTGGGAATTGCCGTATTCAGAAGAAGAGGCTATCAAATATTTTCAAGACGCTGCAAAAGGGATAATTGCAAAAGTGAAATATTGTGATGAAGGTCATGAAATGAAGTTCGATGGGAAGACAAAATGGAGATGCTTTCGTACCATTTGTAACAAAAACGTTTCTATAAGGAAAGGAATGTGGTTAGAGGGGTTGAGGATTTAAACACTAGCAGATAGTGGTCCCAACCGGCTATTTAAGGAGTACCAAAAAATGTTATATACAAAATTTCAATGGTTTTTGAAGCACTTCAGCGAACCCATAAGGCTTTCAAGGGTGGATACTTGGATTTTTTATATTCACTCCATACCTAACAATATAAAAAAAAATTGAATTACCTGACCTTTTGTAAACTAACATGTTTAATTTGACTAGGTTGTTTTGAAGAGAGAAAATGACGATGAAATGATAAAATTAATTTGTTGAAATATATATACCCAGTTTTTCAGTTATTTTCTTGGTACTTCTAGATTCATATAAATGCTTCATTGAACTGTAAAATTATAAATATTTCAAAAACTAATATTATGTTCCTAAACAAGGTAATTGTTGAGAGATTATTGAGAAATATTTTGAATCATGAGAGCTGACAGCAAGAGAATTCTCAGAATACTAAAGAGAGAGATAAGGTTTATGTATAATAATCATGTCAAAAGCTTAGCAATCAGTAGCAGTAAATGAGTGCCCATGAGTTACAAAGCCTATTGTGGAGCTGAGATGCGGCTAGAAAGAGAGGCACTCCAGAGCATCCATACCCAGTTCCATCCATTCCTAATACCAAGATAAACCCACCATCACAAGGCCAACAGAATTTAGATCCAACTTCTCGTACCCCATGTCAGGCACATCTCCCTCCTAACAATCCTAGTCGCATAAATTACCCATCATATCCTCCTGACCCAAATTCACTTCACAGCCAAAAATGATCCGACATCAAATCTGTCCTTTCAACATTCCTGATAGATCTTCAAGAGACTATCAAACTGCTCATTACGCTCATCACTAGATTCCTTTCCGAAATCCCGTTCAACTTCCCACAGAGCTCCTAGCTATCCTTTTATGGAATGCTAATAGACTACTTAACCACCGAGAACTAGACATTCTCAGTGACAATCACATTGATATTGCCCTTCTGACAGAAACCCACTTCACTCAACAGACACATTTCTACATACGTGAATACATCACTTATAGATTTGTTCACCCAGACAACCCTTCCCATGCCAGTTCCTGCATCCTTTTACATAAACCTTTATTCCACTCCCTTATTACTTCCACTCCAATTGATGCCATTCAATCAACTTCTGTGATCCTCACTCTTTCCATCTCACATTCTCAGCTGTATACTGTCCTCCTGGTAATTCCCTCTCCTATAACTTCCTTGAATCCTAATTCCAATCCCTTGGACCTGCAGCTATATTGCTGGAGAAAACTACAATGCTAAACACCAACGATGAAATTGTCAAACATCCAACTCCCGCGGTAACATCCTATCATGTATCTCATCTTCCAACAGTTCTTCAATCCTCTCGCCCATGAATCCTACTTATTGGCCAACATCCCTCAAAAAATGTCTTGATATCCTGAATATATTTATCACCTCCCGGATTTCCTTTTAGCAAACCATAATCAAATTCCTTGATGACCTTTCTTCAGACAATTATCCAGTACTGCTTTTACTACATTCAAACTATGCTAATAAACCATCATCTCCTAAATTTATTATGGGACGAGTAAACTGGGACAAATTTCGTGTTGATTTGGAAAACAAACTAGACTTAAAAATTCAGCTAATGACAAAAGAAGACATTAATGGTGCCATATAGAAAACTTACAACATCAATAACAGACAGTATAAATTACTCTGTATTTTTGTTTATGTATCTCCGAGGCTCCTTAGCCCACATTTTTATCTTTCTATATTATTCTAAAGGGACTCGTCCCAGAATAAATAAAGAATTATTATTATTATTATTATAAATAATAACAACTTTAACAGTAAGATTAACAATTTCCTCTTCTGGCTTTGCTCCAGAGATATCCTTTAACGACAATAACTTTTATTTTTCTGACATTTCTCCCACAGACCTGTTAACCGCGGTAATGAAATCCCACACCAATTCCATAGGGCCAGACGGCATTCCTGTCAAATTAATAAAAATATGTCTACCTGAAATCCTCCCAGCTCTCCTTTTTATCTACAATTTCTCCCTTCAGAATTCAGTATTCCCTACCTCTTGGAAAAAAGCCATTGTCCTTCCTTTAAATAAAAAGCCTGATCCATCCTCACCCGAAGATTTCCGTCCAATTTCAATTCTTTCTAACCTCTCAAAGCCTCTTGAAAGACTGGTGTAATCTCAAGTCTCCAAGTTCCTCGAAAAATCCAACCAATTTGATCCTCTCCAATCTGGTTTCCGTCCCGGCTATTCCACACAATCTGCCTTAATTAAAATTACCAACAACATTCAATCTGCAATAGATGATAGAAAATTAACTGTCCTTATTCTTCTAGACTTCTCCAAAGCTTTCGATTCCATCAACCATTCCATCCTTTTCAACAAACTAAAATCATTATCTTTCTCCAATAGCTCCATCTCTTGGTTCCAATCTTTCCTCTCGCAACGCACCCAAGCAGTCTCCATACCCAACCAACCACTATCTGCTTTCCTTTCTTTATCCTCTGGAGTTGCCCAGGGTTCAAGCATATCTCCTCTCCTTTTCAGCTCCTACATTAACGACCTACCTAAATCAATCCTCCATTGTTCCCATCACCTTTATGCAGATGATTCCCAGATCTACCTATCCTTTTCTCCCTCTGAGTTACTGGGGGCATTTGCCAAGATTCAAGAAGACCTTGATCGAATCAATGCCTGGGCAAATGTAAATGGATTAAAGTTAAATGCTGCCAAAACTCAGGCCATTGTCATTGGTTCCAAGCCCCTCATTAGATCCCATACTGACTTTCCCATATTACACCTTAATGACCAGCCAATTTCCTTCTACTCCTCTGTTAAAAATTTAGGATTTTTCATAGATCAAACCCTCTCCTGGACCTACCATATTTCTCACATTTCCCGTCGGACAATTTCTACCCTTAAACTATTTCATCGCTTCCGCCATCTCCTACCTCAACATATCCGTAGACTCCTAATTTCCTCTCTCATCTTCCCCCACTTTGACTACAGCTGTGTGGTGTATGATGGCCTCTCGGTGGAGCTCCGTGATAGACTGAAAAGATTAATGAATAGCTGCGTAAGATTTGTTATTGGTGCCCCGAGGTATTCCCATGTATCTCACCACTACACTGAGTTAAGGTGGCTCTTTCCCTCCTTCCGAAGACAATACTTTCTAGGTACGTTCCTCTACCAAATCATCAACAACCATCGCCCTTCTTACGCCTACAACCTTCTCCAGTTCAAATCCTCAGTCCATTCCCTGTCCACAAGATCTCGACCTTCTGACCTTTACATGCCTTCTCACAGATCTGAATCATTCCAAAATTCCTTTATTGTTCGCTCTGTCAATTTCTGGAATTCCCTCCCTATCAAAATTCGACATTCCCCCTCCATATCCACATTCAAATCCCTCCTATTCCAATTCCTATCACAAAAACAGTCAGATACTTGCTAACCATTCGAGCGGATTTTAATAGAGAATTTGATACATTTTTATTTTTTAATTCTTTATTTTTTTCGGAAAAGTGTATACTGGTCTATAAGAGCAAATAGCTTTAAGTGTTTTGTCATAGTATTAATGGTTTTATATATAGTTTAGTTTGTTTTGTATATAGAATTTTTACCTTATATTTTTTTTACATTATTTCTTTTTTTCGATTGATTTTATTTTGGCCAGATGTAATATTTTAATTTTGTTCTATTTTGTTATTCTCAAGGGACTGTGTCCCAGAATAAAGTTATTTTTCTATCTATCTAAGATTAACAATTTAAAAAAGACTAACTTGCCATAGCATATTCCTACCTTATTAAAGAAAAAACGCAGAGCAAGATCAAAGTGGCATAGAACTAGATATCCAACAGATAAAACTCATTACACCCAACTGATTAACAAACCAAAATCAGAAATTATAAAATACAAAATTCAAAATTTGCTAAATTTAACTGAAAAATTTACATCTACTGACAAATCACAATGGACGACCACTAAAAGGCTCCTGAAATTTAAAGACTAATCTTCCATTTCTTACCGAAGCTCAAACTTGGTCAAAATCCTATGAAGAAAAATGCCAACCCAAATTTTTGCTTATCACCTCTTCAAAACCTTCAATCCACATCCTGATATCCTTAATCCAAATCACCTTGAATGTATTGAAGCAGAACTGGATATTCCACTCCAAATGACTTCTCTTAAAGCATTTCATCTCCTTATGTATGTAGTCATATTATTAGAGTGCTACCAATGGATAGTTTCTTAACAAGTGTTTTCATGTGATTACATTCCTCTGTACACATTTACTTGATGTATTTATACTAATACTGTTGTAAATATTATAATATTAAAAAAAAAAAGTTTATTATTGCCAATGTTTCAACCCATGCTTGTGGGTCATTAGTGTTGGTAACACCCTGATGATGACCAACAAGCTTCAGTTGAAACATTGGCAATAAAAAAATAAGAAATTGACTACATCTTATCTATCACCCAAGAAAAAAATAATTAGAGTCTTATCTAAATAAACTATTTTCAGATATGTGTGAAAAATAATAATAAATCAGTTTCAAAATAAAACACCAAGGGAACAGATACTCATAAAGATATCAGATTCTCAACTTTGTAGTATAACATTGGGTGCCTCTACCAGATTTCTGATCTTTGAATTTATACTTATTTCAAGGCTAAGAAGGACTGGAGAGATTTTTGAACTCTTTTAAAAATTTTCAACCTCTCTTAGTTTTAAAATTTCTGACATTTGAACACTTAGTAAGTCAGGGCTCAAATTATAATTCATTAGGCTGGCTGAGATCTCCTTGACTATCTTGTTCTCAAAATACCATATAAAATAGCATAATATTACAGATTAAATTTTATTTACGTTCCTACTTACTCCTTCAAATTCCATCCTAGGTATAGGTTGTTGAGGGCGAAAATCAGGATCTTCCAAAGGACAGACATCAATTCTTGTCCATTTTTCCAACATTTGTTTCCAATGCTGTTTCTCCATCAAACTACAATGAGGATTTAAAACAATGCACACCCATAGAGCACCTGAAATAAAAATATGGTGGTAAAACTATGAAAGTATAATAAAATACTTTCTGTTTGTTTTAGTTGGGTTGTCCCAACAGGAGTATAACTAGGGTAGTAAGCCCTTGAGGGTTTCATTTTAGTTCCTATGATAGAATTCATTGAAGAGAGCTTTATAAAGCACTGTATGGCCTGACTGTTCCACCAAAGCCCATGAGACTCATAAGGCTTACAATGGAAAATATAGATTGTGTTGTCCAGATCAAAGATCGAAAATCATCGGAATTTCCATCCAGAAGAGGATTAAGACAAAGGGATCCTCTGGCAGGCCTACTTTTTAATATGGCATTAGAAAAGACAATTAGGGACTCACAGGTTCCAGGTATGGTATGGAACAGGTCAGTATAGTTGTTAGGACATGCAGATGACTGATATTATAGGGGGGTACAGCCAAGCTGTAGTTGAAGTATTCCTTGCCCTGGAAGCTGATGCAAAACGAATGGGACTTGTCAATTAAGCAAAATCAATCAATGATATCAGATCCAGCAACAATATTGAAAGGCACCAATGTTTCTTTTAAGCCCTACAGGTTTGAGCAGGTCTCAGAGTTTGTTTACCTGGAATCAATGGTAGTCTGCAACAATAATACTGCAGTGGAGACAAGGAGGAGAATATTAGCTGCCAACCGCTGCTATTATGTACTCCAGAAGCATCTCTTAAGCAATTTGATAAGCAGGAGAACAAAAGTTATCATTTACAGAACTCTCGTCTGTTCTGTACTATGTAATGGCCCATCAACATGGACCACAACCAGGGCTGAAGACCAATTCCTCACATTTGATTGGAAAGTGTTTAGCCAAATTTACGGCGGTGAGTACGAGAATAATGAATGGAGGAGAAAGAATAGGGAAGTGTATGACTTATATCAAGAGGCGGATATCACTTGTGTCATCAAGCTTGGAAAACTCAGATGGGCAGGAAGGACATCTAGCTACAATGTCTGATGATCTACCTACCAAGAGAAATATGATTGGGCCCTTTTCCAGTCGTTGTAGATTTGGAAGATCGAAGCTGTGGTGGACAGATTGGGTAGCCCATGATGCTAGAAAATATTTGAAGGTCCGAAACTCGATGGCAGAGGCATCAGAATAGAGATACTTGGTTGTTATGGAGGAAGCCAAAAGCCTTTATAGGTTGTAGTGCTAATGAAGAAGAATTTTACTTTAATCTCTTCTTACAAAAGAATATACAAAATTACTAAAAATTATTAAGTTAAACTTTGGCTAAATTTACTTTTGCCTAGGTACCCTGAAAGAATCTTCTCTATATGAAATACAATGCTTGATCGGAAGGGCCCATGAAATAATAAGTGAGGAGTTAATAATGTTAGAGCAAGCAGCAAAGGGAAGAAGGACAAAGTACTGACTCCAGTACTCATAGTTCTCACTAAGAGTGGCAATAGACAACTAGGAAATGTAACCATAGGGAAAATAATGTTTATTGGGTCAAAGACTTCATTCACCTTGGCTCTCTAATCAATTTCGAAATAATAATGCTCAAGAAGAAATAAAGTGAAGAATCCTCCTTACCAACAGATGCTACTATGGTATTGAGGTATTATAAGAGTAGAAGTTCATCTAGATATACATAAACATTGATATACAAAATCAGGGTATCCAGCGATTCTCCTCCAAAAAATTTCCATACATTTCCCGGTTTTCTAGATTTTTCACATAAATTTCTCTGGCCTGTATGCACCTACACCAGTACCGATTTTCTGCCAATTAAATGCATTTTCTACGGAAATGCTTCAAATATTTAAAAAAGCAATCAGTGTTTTAGAAAGAGAAATATATCCTACACATGTTTTATTTGAGAACGTTTTTTATTACTGTTGGCCGTTTAATTACAAACGACCCTTGGTTTTCAACTTTTTCAAGTTTCAAGTTGACTTTCACTTTAAAAAAATTTGCATTATTATTAGTTTTTTTAAGGTTAAGGCAAATAAACCTTCATTTTTCTTTATTATTTTTTAATCACATCTATAACATGTGACGTTTCGGGACAATTTTCCCATCCTCAGAGAATCCTTTATGTTTACTTGACTTTGTAATGTGGCACCAATTGACAAAAATTACAATAATTGTCATATCTATTTAAATATAATACTTTTTGGTGTTACACATTCATTTTCTGTCCATCATCACACCAACCAACATCTGGTTAAAGTATTATATTTAAATAGATATGACAATTATTGTAATTTTTGACAATTGGTGCCACATAACGAAGTCAAGTAAACACAAAAGATTCTCTGAGGATGGGAAAATTGTCCCGAAACGTCAGACGTAATAAAAAAAGACTAAAGAAAAATGGAAGTTTATTTGCCTTAAAATTAAAAAAAATTGAAGGAAGCTAGTCTACTGTTCTACATATCATGGGTGATAAATATTCAGGATGCAGTCTTTTAAAAAAAAATTTAATTTTTTTATTTGTGCCGTGTAGCCAACGTTTACAAACCACGGTTAGTAAGAGAAAATATTACAAATTTTTATAAATAGATTATATATATTATTTTTAGTTTGTATACATTTTTACATATTTCATTTTTAATATTGTGTATTTTAATAATAGTTAAGATTCATGTACCATCAAATCATTATAGTTTATTATTTACTATTATCGGTCGTATAATATTATATCTCTGATTGTATTTTTAAATGTTTAGCCCTGAAGATGACCCACATGTTTGGGTTGAAACGTTGGCACAAATAAAAAAAATTACAAATTTTTTTTGGAAGACTGCGTCCTGAATATTTATCTCCCTTAAAAAAATATATAAACCGAAGCTTCCTGGAAAAAGAAAAATAAGAAGATTATTATTAGTTTATGTTGCCCAGGCCAATATTTTTTCATGTTTTATTATTCTCTGACTATCCAGCTTTAATAAAAGACCAATTATGACAAAATTAAGCCAAATGCTGAATCTCAAGGACCAAAAATCTAACTCAATTCAAAGTCGTTTGGACACTATTTTGGGGCAGTGCGTCCTAAGCTCTTAACTTTTTCTTCCATCTCCCTCTACATTCCGGCAATTTGATAAATTAAATTTGGAAACAAAAATAAAATGTTCAAAAAGAAAACATAAGAAGATTTTGAGCAGCTTAAATGATTTAATATTTAAATCTTCGGGAAAGTAATAATGTACCTTCCATTTTCAAAACAAAAATAAGGGAAAATGTGACCTGAATGATGCTGATCTGTTATGCTGATGTGTTTTCTTCGATACCCCTATATTTCAGAAATCGCCCGTTTGATTTGGCTCAAAGCTAGAAGAAAGTTGGGTGTTGATAAAAACCGATGCTATATCTGTCTTATTGAATTTCAACCATCAATTTCCCTACATATGCGTATTTTCCTTGAATCGCCTATATCTCGAAAAACACACGATTCGATTTGGTCCAAATTTGGAGGGAAGTTAGGGATTGACAAACAAGTGACCAAGTAGGTAACAGTGTCATCAAGTTGTATCCATTACATTGGCTTTCAGATTAGTTTTAATAATTTAAAAACATTTCCCAAAGTTGGAGGAATTTAATGAATATTGTAAAACTCGTCTTGTGTTATTAAATTCCGTTTTACAATTAAAATTAATATAAATAACAGTTAAAACAATAATAAAATAATAATGGCTGTGAAATTTTGTAGGTACTGAATATATGGAAAGAGGTCACATTCATACCTTTTTGAACTAATTATTGTAGAAAAGTAAGACGTAGACATCAATAAATTTTAAGTATATACAAGTTTTCTTTTTATGTACTTTGTAAACTTCACTCATATTCCTTCTTCAATTAGTTTTTTCTAACTAATGAACAAAATTCGTTTCGTTAACGTTGGACAAACAAAATATTGAATTTTTGTTCCATCTATTTTGGGAGCGAAAACATAACTATTAAGTACATAAGCATGTTCAATGTGAATATATATAAAGTAATAGGAACTGTTTTATTTTGTGATTTTTTTGTAATCGCTAATAGGAAAATACTTGATTCATAAGTGTAAAACTCATCTGCATTTTTGTATTCGCTGATGCTCAAAGCACCCGGTTATCAAATCCGCAAAGTTTGAGAGATTACTGTACTTCAAAAACGGTTTTTTCTAAAGTTATAGGTAATTGTGTAACCAATGAAAATTTTGAGGAACTTGCCTTACTTGGAAGAGGTTTTATATTTGTGTTTGGAAAAATTTTCCTCTAGCTCTGTTCAAATAACACTATTATCCTACTTGAAACATGTTTCCTAGTTATTTCAGTTACTTTTAAATGAAAGTATTTTTTTTTTTTTTTTGCAATGTTTTATAAAGTACTTTTAATGTGAAATAAGAAACATTAACAGTTGTTCAGCTTTTTTTCTTCTTTTTTTTCTAAAGAAATTGTCTAAAGAAATTGTTGACCACCAATATGTATAATTCTAGGAAAGAAATATCTTATTTATATTGTCATAATTTCAAGAAAAGAAATTCCCGGTCACTGGACACCCTGAAAGTATGTACTATCTATCTTATATGCTTCATTCTTCATTCTTATATGAATATTGGAATTTAAGAAAAACTGATGAGCTCAATCATCAATGCTTTGAATGGAAAGTACACACTCTGGATGGGAAAATGAACAGGGAGTCAAAGGTCCTCTTTAAAGATACTGAAACATTAGCCAATGTTACAATTTGACATTAAGTCAGGGAGATTCAGTTGGGCTGGACAAACTGTCAGAAGCAAAATGAACAAAAATACAAAAAGTGAAACAAAAAGACATGTATCACGTAGAAAAAGAAAACCAAAGTTACACTGGTTAGATGGCTTCAATGAAGATGCATATGTTCAGCTCTAGGGGGCAAATTTACAAGATGGCAGCAATAGAAAGAAAATATGGAGAGAGGTGGTGATACCTGGTGGAGGCCATGTGACCCATACAAGTAAGTTTTAGTACCCAAAATATAACATAAATGAATAAAATGTCTACATATCAAACAAAAAACACTATAAAAAAAATTATTAAAAAACAAGTTTCTTTTTATTTGAATAAATAATTAATAATAAAATGAGTAATGATCATACCGTTTTTCTTCATTATTGAACAAATTAGTAAGTACTTTGCTGCAAGGAAAACTCATATACTCATAAAAATTCATAAACACATACTTATATTACTGTATTTAGTAAATACTCCTTGAATTTATTTATAATAAAATAAATATATTAAATATTTAAAAACTGACTAGAATCAGCAATAACTAATTTTTATTCACTTCACCCACTGAAAAAATTTAGTCAATCAGAAAATGGAATTGGTTTTGGTTTAAAATTTATTATATTACTTTAATAACACAACATATAATCAGCCTATATGTATCAGGTGTGTAAAAATGAATCTGGAAAACTGTCCATAGATAACTTAAGATAACTTAGTAGTTAATTAAGTTACCACTAAACCGCATTAATGGACCATTTTACTTCTTTTACAACTCGCACAGATTTTCAATTCACAACAATACAAGTTTCATATAATAGCATCATTTTATTGGTGTTGAATATGTCAGGATTTTACCTACAAACTTCAATTTGTGAACAGCATTAATTTATCAATGTCATTTAAAGAAAACTGAATCACATCGAATGCTTGTCGAAGTGAGCATGGTCTTAGTAAATCACAGTACTTTGAATGGTTTAAAAAATTCAAAAGTGGAAATTTTGATGTGAGAAATGAATAAGTGAAAGGACATCAAAAAAATTTGAAGACAGCAAACATTGTTGGATAAGGATGACACTTAAACCGAACAACAACCCACGGATGAGTTGAATGTAAAAAGAGAAGCTGTCCTCATACATTTGAAAGTCATGGGAAAGATCTAGAAGATTGAAAAATAGATTCCACATGAACTGAATAAAAGGAAGCAAAAAAAAAACGGAAAATCATCTCTGAAATGTTGCTCGCCCAGGTAAAATATAAAGTCATTTCTCCATCGAATTGTGACAAATGATGAAAAGAGGATATATTTTAGGAATCCTAAGAATCAAAGTTTATAGTTAACTCCAAACCATCAACATCGAATGCCAACTCACTTTAGAAAGAAGACAATGCTCTGTGTTTGGTAGAATCAGAAGGATGTGAGCTATTTTAAGATGCTATAACCTATTGAAACTGTTTATGCCGGACGATATTGACAACTATATGATCGATTCTAATTGAGTATTGCATGAAAAACAACCAAAATATCAAAAAGACAGTACATAGTGATTTTGCTTCATGATAATTAACCACAGCAAAACCAGTAAAGGAAACAATTGAAGCGTTCAGTTGGCAAATATTAGCACATGCGGCTTATTCACCAAACTTGTCTCAGTCCGATTACTATTTATTTGTATCAAAGGGGCATTCAGCAGCTCTTCACTTTTTATGACAATGTATGAAAATGGCTTAAGGAATGGTTTACCACAAAAGAGCAACAGTTTTTCTGGCATGACATTGATAAATTCCCAGAAAAATAAGAAACACGTATAACTAGCAATGAACAATATTTTGAATAAAATAATTTTTAAGATGTTTACGTAATAAACGTGTATTTCCTATATAATTTGTATTTCGGTTTCATATTTACACACCTAGTAGTATATGTGGCGCCACAATTGACAAATCAAAGTTAATGAATCAAAATGTAAATATGTCACCTTCATCCTCTGATGCAGACCCTGCCTGCTAATCCTATTTAACTCTATCCCACTTCCTACCTCAGATACTGTGTGGTATCTCAGTTTCCTTTTAGACAAAAGACTGACTTGGAACCCACACAAAAGACTTTAAAGATAAAAGTTTAACCAACAATTTGCCCAGTTATCACACAGATCACTAAACATTACATCTCATCTTTCAATCAAAAACAAATTATTAATCTACAAGACTGTACTGAAACCTATCGGGACCAACAGACTTGAACTGTGAGGGAAAGCTAAATTTTTTAATATCTAATGTATTCAATATATCATATATCCTTCCAGTCCAAAGTACTTCGAACAATAGTTAATGCTCCATATTATATCATAAACAAGACCCTACACCATGACCTTAACATACCATATGTTCTTGACATCATCCCATCCCAATTTACAAAATTTCACCAGAACATTATTCACCATCTCAATCCTCTAGCTGAATCCCTATCTAGCTTCAACCATTCCTATAATCCTCTCCGGAGGTTGAAACATTAGTGGCCTCGAGACCTTTTGTAAATATGTTAATGGAGTCCTGGCAATAGCCAGTTTCTCCACTTAATGCCTGCATGTTTGTGACTCAAGTGCCCTCCCTCAATCTCCACTGGCCTCCAGTCCAGTGACACTGCTGGGAGAGAAGCGCTGGGACCTCCTGAAAACGAACTTGTCTTGGAAGATAAAGATAAACACGTAGAAGATAAAGCCTGGCTTGGACTCCCTTGGGCAAATGTAAATATTCTATATAGATGTGAATGAGCTTTAGAAGAATTTTATTTATTTATTAAATCTTTTGTTTGTATTTATTTATTTTTCCTTAATTTTCTTCAATTATTTTTATTGTATGAGTGGATACTTTTAGCTCTAATGCTAATTGCCCTTGAGTATTCAATAAATATATAATTAAAAAAAATTTTAAAAGTAGTATATGACCATTTAACGAGACCAATCTTCTACAAAATGTTTTGCTTTCATTAAAAAACATTTCTGTAATGCAGATTTTAATTATTCTGCTGATCAGTAATTTGAATGTATCTTCATCATCAACCAAAACACTTTACATTATTTATAAAGGAAAACTAAACCATTTAACAAAAATATCTTAACATTTTAACTTCAAAAAAACATATCAGACATATCTGTTCACTTGCCATTGCAGAATCCTAACAAAAATAAACTTTATTCTGTAATAATTTACTAATTATTACTACATCAAATAACAAATGTAAATTCAAACATTTGCAGATGAAATCATCCAGAAGAGCATTAATAATAAATCATTAACAAGCAAATACTTGGAATTACTTGATTAATCCTAAGCATCAAGTCTTGACGAATTTAATATTTCCAGATCATTTCATTGTGACACAAATGAGTTGACTTTTATCTTACTAATTTTGTACACAGAAAATAAAAAATATATACGATACACTCTTTAAGTATTAAAATAATATTTATCATACCTAATTGATCCCATAACTGCCGACACTTATCAATCATGGGAGTGCCTTGTGATTTCCACAGAATAAGTCTAGGATCTGATAAAAATTGTTCTGTTATTAAAGTTAGCATACGAGCACCATTTGAATCTCTTGCTCTTAACATTTCTCTTACCTAAAGTCAACAAAAATGAATATTTTTAATGAAATAAATACATTTTATAGATTATCATTGTTATTATTTTTATGATAAGAAGTGAATCAGTAGTCCTTTACCCAGTATTTTTTGAAGCAATAAAAACAACATTGATAAAATAATATACTCTGGACTGTCACAGTTGACAAAATGATTAAAATGTAGAATTAAAAAAAAAACAGGTGGTGTTCAGATTATTTTATTTTTTTTAAGGAGGGTTATAGAGACCGAGAGTTGTGATATGGACTGTAAATGATATTTGATTATTTTGTGAGAAATTTTGTTCATTATTTTTGGTTTAAGTTGTTCCTATCATAAATAAATTGGTTAATTATGGATATGTTATCAATTATTTAATATCACTTGCAAAGAAGAAATAGTCAGTAAGGAAGAACTCACTCCTCATTTCTTAATTATAATTTTATCATTAAGTTGATGTTTAAAGGAACATGACATTGGTGCCCAACGTGGGGCTTAGCAGTATTAAAGGGAGATATCGATAAAAGGTAGGTATTGCTCAACATGGATACGACAAAGCTACTAAAGGACGAGTTGGCTTATGAACTTCGAATTCAGGGGCTTTCCGATGTAGGTGACACTAATGATTTGAGGAAGAGACTCGTGAAAGCATTTACTCAAAAAGTTCAACCACTCGATGAAATCATAGCTCCATTAAATTTGCAGGAATAATTAGATATTTGTACGGGAAAATTTGCAGCACAAGCTGAACGTTTAGAGGAGCTCACGATAGGTGATGTTATCGAGTTTAGGCGTCTAGACACACGAGTGGGGCATCTTCATAGTCGCTTAGGACGGTTAATTGTTCTACCAGAGTTACAAGGGTGGTGGAAACAGTGATTGAGTTACATTTTTAATAGCCGAACTTTGGGAAATGAAACCCGTGATTACAGTACCGTCTCTAACCACAACAGATATTGTAACTACATCCCGAACTTCAGATCCACCATTTAAAGTAGAAGCTGTTAGGGATATAAAAGCATATAAATGGGGTTCAAAGTTCTCAGGTGATTCATTGGGTCCTTCTTTAAGTTCATTCTTAGAGGAAGGAGAAGAGCGAAGAATAGCTCAAGGGGTTAGCCCAGAAGAATTATTTCAAGGAACAGGGGACCTTTTCACCGGCTCAGCATTAATCTGGTTCCGAATGAATCGAAATCGGTGTTCCAATTGGGATGAAGCGGTTACTCGACTAAAGCAGGCATTCAGGGACCCTGATTACGATAGATTGTTGATGAACGAGATACTCCGTCAGACGCAGGGCATTAGTGAGTCACCAGCTGTATTTATAGCAAAAATTAGGTTGCTTACCTAATTGTAGGGCCGGCTGTCGACACTGATGACCGAGAGAGAACAAATAGCCATAATTGAAAGGAATTTAAGACCTGAAAACTTGATGCTATTGGGCATAACGCGATACGCGGATCTAGATGAGCTGGAAGAGATACTTATTAAGTTATCTTTGGGCTGAGTACTCAATAAAATATTTAGGGAACCTCCGTCCAGCGGTTGGTTAAAGCCTGATTTGGGGAACTATTCACAATTCACAATGCTCCAGCTACTTGGCAAAGACTGATAGATCAGGTGCTTGGGTCTGAACTGGAACCATATGTTTTTGTGTATTTGGAGGACGTGGTGATAGTAACATCAGATTTTCAGCTGCACCTCGATACTCTAAAAATGGTTTTAGAGCGGATTAACAAGGCTGGCCTTACACTAAACCAAGAAAAGTGTAAGTTCGCTCGCGAGGAGCTTAAATATCTCGGATATCTTGTAGACAAGCATGGAGTATGAGTAGATCTGGAAAAGGAGTCTAGTATTCTAAATTATCTTCGTTCGAAAACAATTGGTCAAATTCGAGCGTTTACAGGCCTAGCTTCTTGGTATAAGGTTTATTCCTGAATTCGCTTTGAGGATGGCACCACTGACCCATCTTCTACACAAGGGTCAGAAGTGGACCTGGGGTCCAGAACAAGAAGATGCTTTCTTAGATATTAAAACGAAATTGGTAGAAGCACCGGCTTTAGCCTGCCCAGATTTTACAAAACCGTTCACTGTACAGGCAGATGCATCTTCTGTTGGATTAAGAGCAATTTTGTCGCAGGAACTCAAAGAAGGGGAGAAAGTAATTGCTTATGCTAGCAGAGCTATGACGCAGGCAGAACAAAAACTCTGCAACTGAGTTGGAATGCTTAGCAGTCATTTGGGCAATTGAAAAGTTTATAGACCCTATATTGAAGGCACTAAATTTACGGTGAATACGGACCATCATTCTCTTATGTGGCTAGACTGTCTGCAAGATCCAACCAATCGACTCGCTCAGTGGGCACTTCACCTTCAGAACTATGATTATCATATTCAGCATCGACCTGGAAAGGAACATATGGCAGCTGATGCTTTATCTCGTGAGGTAGATGGCGCATCTGATGACCCCATCTCGACTGTAGCAGCTGTCGTAATTAATGGAGAGGAGACCGATCCCTGGTACCAAAACATAAAGCACAAAGTAACGCAAAATCCGGAAGAGTTCCCGACTTGGGGTGTTACCAAAGGTCGCTTAATCAAATATATGTTTGAGAGAAATCCGTTAAAAGTTGGCAAAAACCAATGGAAGCTAGTGGTACCGAGGCACCAAAGAGATGCAATTCTTAAACAATACCACAAAGACCCAACTGCAAGACATATGGGGATAAATAAAACAAGGAAAAGAATTGCCCTATATTATTTCTGGCCAAACATGATTCGGGATGTCGCTAAGTTCGTAAAGAAATGTACTACCTGTTAAATCATGAAACCAGAACATAAAGCTCCTGCCGGCTTGATGAGCATGACGCCCGTTCCTTAAAAACCCTGGCAAGTGGTTTCCACCAATCTTATGGGACCATTTCCACCTTCCTCGAAACAGAATAGGTATTTGTTGGTGGTAACTGATTATCTTACCAAATTTATCCTGCTTTTCCCATTAAGACAGGTGACAGTAACAAGATACGTAGAGAACGACATGTTTCTGATGTTTGGAGTGCCTGAAGTACTATATTGTGATAATGGTACTCAGTGTACCAGTGAAAAATTTAAGAATATGCTAGAAAAATACGGTACTTATTGTCGGTACAATCCGGCATACCATCCCGAGGCTAACCCTACTGAGAGGGTAAACAGGATTCTGAAAACTATGATTTCACCATATGTCAAAGATAACCATCGATCATGGGATAGACATATCGCGGAGTTTGGCTATGCGCTGAGAACAGTTAGTCACGAGACAACAGGCTACACTCCAGCCTTTCTTAACTTTGGACGCGAGTTGCTCAGTCACGCCTCCCAATGTGTGGTTTGTTTTGGATTAAAGGAAATAACAAAGATCGACTTGAAGCTAACGTTAATCCTGGAAGATGTCAAGAGTCGGTTACGGCAGGCACAAGAAAACAATGCTCGATGTAATAATCTTAGACGTAGGCCAGTCAAGTTGGTTGAAGGTCAGCAATTATGGGTTAAAACGCACACCCTCTCGGACTTAAGTAAATACTATACAGCCAAACTAGCACCAAAGTATGAAAAGGGTATAGTCAAAAGAGTTTTGTCCAATCTGGTGTACGAAGTGGTCGATGAGGCTGGAAGACCATTGGGGAACAGACACATACAGGAGTTGAAAGCCAATTCACCAGGGAGTGTAAACACTGCAGAAGAATGCCCTTCGCCATCCCCAGGAATCGAGGAGATTGTCACTGTTGACAAAATGATTAAAATGTAGAATTTAAAAAAAAACAGGTGTTCGAATTATTTTTTTGTTTTAAGGAAGGCTATAGAGATCGAGAGTTGTGATATGGACTGTAAACAATATTTGATTATTTTGTGAGAAATTTTGTTCATTATTTTTGGTTTAAGTTGTTCCTATTATAAATAAATTGGCTAATTATGGATATGTTATCAATTATTTAATATCACTTGCAAATAAGAAATAGTCAGTAAGGAAGAACTCACTCCCCCTCCACTGGGTAAGCCCTTCTTAATTATAATTTTACCATTAAGTTGACATTTAAAGGAACGTTACAGCACTTATTATAGTATATTAATAAGTGCAGAGTTTTAGCAATCCATTATAACTTTAACATCATGTCCTCTTTCGGAAGTGTGCTAAGCATTAATGGTTTAATAGTGTAAAATGTAACTATTTAGCAATTAAAACCACTACATGAATTCACATAGTGAGTCCAAAATTAAAAACAATATTTCTGTGTTTTATTTTATTTGGCTTTTTATCTTAGGTAGTATTAAAAATATATTAATCCAAATACTTAATAAGAATAAATATCACATGAAGTCGACACATATGGCATGGTTTAATGTAATAAAAATTGCACTGCCAAAATGATTCAGGATAAAAACATGAGTAATAGGGAAATGATTAACTTACATTTCAAATAGAATGGTGAGAAATGTTTGATTTTATGACATTGGATAAATTTAATGAAGGGTTATGAATGCATAGCAAAATCGAAAATCATTGTGGGGTGATTAATACCAATCTTAGGAGAAACTAAAATCTCAAGAATTACGTCTGTTACAACACAAGTTTGTACTATATTAAACTGTTAAACCCAAATACTGTATTTTTTTTCAATGTGGAGGATTGATTTTGTAAGGGAAAATCATACTACACATGTGCCTGACAGTTTGATGATATTCAATTCATTTTGGAACAGACCTAATATTTTCAAACTTGTATTTATCAGATAGTTGAAGAAGAAGATTGGCTCATAAGTTAAGGCATAATTAAGACTTGTACATGTTATTCTCTGAACCTTTCATTAGTTATAGTATATACAAAAACTTATTCTTAAAAAGCGTAACTTTATTTTTTTTTAAATATTGAAGTCAAACATAACTTTGTCGTGCATTGAAATTCATAAAAAATTGTGGTCTTTTCATAACTTGAAAGATTCTTAAATATAATTTTGTTAAGTATTTCAACCTTTACTTTTGATAAATTTAGTGAGGAAAAAATACTGAATTTCTTTTCAAATTTTACAAATCTTTAATCCATGACAGATTATTTTCATCCACATATTAAAAAAAAAAGTGATTAATAGATATTATTATTGTTAAATAAAACACCTTGGCAAATAAAGAATTAAGCTGTTTATTGGCATTGTAATAACTTCCTTGAGTGAGATATGATTTGACTTGCTCACAAACTTGTTCTTCATCTAAGTGCCATGTATGTTCATCATCGGCACTAGCTCCAGCTGTAGGGTCAGGTGCTCCTAAAGATAAAATTAAAAATTACTTAAAAGATTATATAAAAATAACGAATAGAGAAAAGCTTACACTACAACCCATGAAGGGTTTTCGATTCAGCACTTTGTAAGGAGTGCTGTTTCAAGGTCAATGGTTGTGCAGGGAGATGATCGAGATGGGATCATGCATAGAAATAAATAACTTTCTCAAACCAGTTAAACATATATTAAGACCAAAATTAATATTCTGATTTAATAATTTTAATTAAACTTCCTTTATTTAATAAGACATTGTAAACTAAACTTTTGCAGTTGTGAAACTTGATGGAAATAATATGCATATTTGAGGTATCATAAGGTAAAAAAGGAAGAAAGATGAACAAAATTGGACTCGACGAATAAATAAAGGTTGAACAAATTTAAAAGTGGGAATAAAATCATGGAAATAAAGTTTGAGATTATAATAGAGTTCAATGCTTTACTGTGGTTACTAAATATTGGATTAAGGAGGCAATGATAGTTTTTGTAAACAAGCAAAATTATTTATGG